TCATCAGACAGGTAAATTACACCTTGAAATGTTGCCACATACTTTAGCAACCTGCTTAATTTTATCATACTAGGTTGCTTGCTTTTAAATCATAGATGCCCATATGCAGTGGGCAAGACACTAGCAAAAAGGAGCTCATTTTCTGTTTCATCTGAAATTAGCACCAGTGTCTTCAGGTGTGCGAAAGGGATTGCAGCTGCTAAAGAAACCAAGAACTGTATTGGCAGTGCAAAGAAAACCATCAAAAATAGCATCATGTAAGCAAGAAAACTCATTGTTCAAGGTGAAAAGGACACAAATTACAAAGAAGAGAAGTCTCTGAGTGAGAGAGGGAGCATGGGGAATGGCTGAGTGTGGTGGGAGAAGGGTTGTGAACAGGCAGGTAGAAATGTGCCACTTGGTAATTTCAGAAGTATCCACCAGTAGGCAAGGTGAGTAAATTTTCTTTGTAAGGTTCCCTGGAAAATATGACTGTGAATATTCCTATAAATATTCCAATGTGTGCTCACCTTTGCTGAACAAGCATTAAATAAACAAAGGGAGCAATGGGACAAAAGCCCAGAAAATAAGATGTGCTAGAACATAAGTGAAAGCAATTACTGAGAACTGAAGTTAAATAAAGGCAACTAGAGCAGCTGTGTGTCCATGTGGCTGCTCTTCGCATGATGTGTATTCAGTGAAACAACTATTTGGACTCTTTGGCTTGTGAAGAGCTGATTCCAAGCATACAGATCTTTACCTAGCTCTTCGGGTTATCTTTTCTGGCTTCAATCTCATTAAGAGTGACAAGAAATGTTTAGAAATACATGATAGCTGCACACAGGTTTTTATTATTATTTCATTTAAATAGGCATGATAGCAGCTGATGCAAAATGCTTTTCTTCTGAACCTTAAACTGTGCAAAATTAATTGCTGCAGTTGCTGCACAGGATGAATGTGATTTAAGGATGTTTTCTTCCCCTGTCAGATGGATGATGAAGACACACTATTACCTAGAAAGCTGCAAGCTGCTCTGGAGCAGGCTCTAGAGAGAAAGAATGAACTGATAAATCAGGACTCAGATAGTGATTCAGATGATGGTAAGCTCATTTGGAAACTCCTAAACAGCCACGTAGGTACTATTCTTAGTTTCAACCCAGGAGAAAGAAAGAGGGGACTCCAGTACTCAGATACAATTTGCAGTATCAAAGAGTGTCTCTGAATGCACAAGGAATGGGACTGATAGCATCAGCACATAGCAATATATTGTCAGCATTCTACTTTGATAGCTTTGTAAGTGAAACATACTTCCATGAGTAGTTTTAAGCCTTTAATCAAACAGAGGCTGTACTTAACTTGGCTCTGATTCAATCCAGAATAACTATCTGTGCTGAGAGGTGGGTCTCCTGTTGGCTCTTGCTATCTTCAGGGAAAGCAGCAGGTACCTCAGAAAGTGGTTTCAGTGCTGGAGGGGCTGAATTGCCTTGGAAGATTCACATTTCTTTCCAGCAATTATAAAAAGAGCCCAGGGTGAATGTAACCACCTGTGGTTAACAGGTATGAGGGAGGACTCTATTCAGCTTCTAAAATTTGTTTCTACTCATCTTTGCTTTACATATGTAAAGCCATATGTACACCAGTAGTGGTGAAAGCGTAAATTCTACTACATATGCTTTTAGATCTGTTTTCAGTGTACAAGCTTATTATCCTCCAAGCATCCATTTTAATTCTCAGAGCTGCACAGAGGCTCGTCAAGTAAAGAGTTATTCATATTTAAACTTAGAAGTATCACTTCGATGCTGCACCCACAAAGTTTTTAATTCTCTGAGCTGTCTCCTGAGGATTTGTATTTCTTGTTGATTCTTGGTTGCAAAACACCAGTTACAGGGCTGCAAAGGAGCTGCAAAAGTCCTTTCTCTTATCACCATTGCATCAGTAAACCGCTAGATGACGGTGCCCAGCCCGGGGTGGGGACAGTGCTGAGAGCCGCAGCAGCTGATTGTGGTGTCTTATTGCTGCCTTATTTTGCAGAATGTAACACCCTGAATGGATTAGTGTCTGAGGTTTTTATCCGATTCTTTGTGGAGACAGTTGGCCATTATTCCCTGTTCCTAACCCAGAATGAAAAAGGAGAGCGTGTCTTCCAAAGGGAGGCATTCCGTAAATCCGTGGCCTCCAAGAGCATCCGCCGCTTCTTGGAAGTGTTCATGGAATCCCAAATGTTCGCTGGTTTCATTCAGGACAGAGAACTGAGAAAATGCAGGGCGAAAGGTAAGGGTGCGGATGGCTTTGTGCTGCGGAGGGGGCAGAGCCGAGGGGCGGCGAGAGGAAGCAGCATCAGAGGAAGGGGACGGCGGGATCTCCGTCGGCAGAGCGCTTTCCGGCTCAGTGTTCTCCCCTCTTCCGTAGGTCTCTTTGAGCAGAGGGTTGAACAGTATTTGGAGGAGCTTCCAGACACTGAACAAAGTGGAGTGAACAAGTTTCTGCGAGGCCTTGGTGAGCAAACTGTATAGAAGTATTTCTAGAATTAATTTTCACGTGACTTCTGTGCTATTTTATTTTAAAAAATATATAAAATCTTTGAGATGAAATCAGATAATGAAGCAGAGGTTTAGGTACGGGATGGGAAACATCAAAAGAATACAATGAAAACATACTTAAAATCAGAGTTCATTATGGTCTTTGTGAAACGGTTTCATTTCATTTCCAATTCCAAATGTTTCATTTCCAAACATAATTGAAGAAAAAAAAAAGTTGACTACTAAGTGTTTTGTTAGTTGGCTCTCCCTCCTGGTGTTAAACAATTGCACTGCAAATTAACCCATTCGTTCAGTAACTTCTGATTGCAGTTGTCTTTTCCAGTATGTGAAAAAGTGACTGGTGGTGCATTTTCTTTAGGAAACAAAATGAAGTTCCTTCACAAGAAAAACTGATCCCTTTCTGCTGAACCACCAACCCAAAGACTACGTATGACACTGTGCTTGGACACCTTCAGCTGCAGACCTTGATGTGGGAGAATGAAAAAAGCTGACTGCAGCTTTGAGTGATTGCCCGTGCTGTTACAGAGCATCCGTGTATTTGGATGGGATTTGTAAATACTGTGCTGTAAGCTTTTGTAACTGATTTTGTAATGAGCAAAGAAAACTGTGGTAAATATTTGTATATTCCTGAGAATAACAGGTGCTTTCCTAGTATGAGTTGAGTTACGCTTGGTGCAAAGATGAGTAGCTGACTGCATGCAGCTCTCAGCAGAACCACTGATTTCAGGGGATGTTTGTGAGAACTGCACTGGTGCCTGAGTACTGCGGTAACAAATGGACCCATGGGTCCATGGCAGAGGTTGTGTGTGCGAGGGCTGGCTTTGTGTGGCAGAGTTGGTATTGTTTTTTTCCTACTTTTCTTTCTCATAAATTTTAAAAACGAAGTAAGAAAGTAACTTGATAATAAGGTACTTGGTTCACAATACAAAGTTTCCACTTGGTTTGAACGCTGGTCAGTAAACTCCTTGTAATCCATTCTGCACTAAGACTGCTAACTGTGAGGAGAGCTCCGTTTTTTGACATGCAAGCTGCATCATGTAGGTACAGTATGTCCTTTCCTCATGTATGTAAGTATGGTTCCCAATAAACCGTGTAAATATACCTGTTTTATAGTCTTTGTGTACTTCTGATGCTGAGTGGGTAAATAACCAGAGGAACTTGTGAATGTGAATTTGCAGTTAAAATACAAAATGGTTGTTACAAAGTTGTCTCTCAGTAAGTTTGCTATTTTGTGACATAAAGTGTTTTTAATTCTACTTAATGTTTTTAGCCAGAGTAAAGGCATTTTATATTACTAAGGCGTTAATTTTATCCTAGCAGAAGCATCTCTTTGAACATTTTTTTTCAAGTAGCAAATCCCTTTCTGTCTTTGTATGTATCATACTGCTCCTAGACTTCCTAGAATCAGGGTTGCCAACCCTGGAGGTGCTCCAGAGCCATAGAGATGGAACACAGAGGGCTGTGGTGAGTGGGCATGGTGGGGGTGCACTGCTGGCTGGGTTGATCTTAGTGTTCCTTCCAACTTCTGTGACTCTATGAATCCACAATTACACGGTAGTATTTTCAAATTGCTTTGGCACTGCCTCTGTTCAGTGACCTGAGCAGAATAAGAACAGCTGGTGTGTGGGGGGAGAGTTGCTTGAATTTCTGATGAGCTATCAGCTGCCTTCCATACAGCCTGCTGCTCTTTGGTGTCCACTGCAGTTAAGAGCATTGAAGGATGAAAAAAGCACTGTATTTTTCTTCATTTGCAGAGTCATTTCTCCCTTACGACGTTGAGGCTCGCGCAATTCCAAACCTGGCAGTGGTTCTGGTTTGCTATCAGCCTCATAGAGCAAAAGCGAGGGTTTATTCACTGAAAAGGTGAAGTAATTTCCTTTTTTTCCTTGCCTCCCTCACACTCAAACATGTATCAATGATAGCAGTAGGACAAGAGGGAATGTTTAAATGGAAACAGGGGAGATTTAGGTTAGATATGAGGAGGAAGTTTTTCACTCAGATGGTGGTGACGCACTGGAACAGGCTGCCCAAGGAAGTTGTGGATGCCCCATCCCTGGAGGCATTCAAGGCCAGGCTGGATGTGGCTCTGGGCAGCCTGGTCTGCTGATTGGCGACCCTGCACATAGCAGGGGATTGAAACCCAATGATCATTATTGTCCTTTTTAACCCAGGCTGTTCTATGATTCTGTTACTCTGTGAGTCAATACTTTGAAAGTGTACATCAAATAAACGCTCAGTGTAAAATATCAAGTTCAACGGAAATATAAGCGCTACCCATTCGCGTCCTCAGGGACACACCTCCCCGAGCACCCCCACACAGGGCGGAACTACCGCCCATTTCTGCGCGGGATCCAACAAGCGCCTCCGTCGCCGATCTCGCGAGACTCCACGCTGGCTGCGAGAGCCTCTGCACAGTCTCGCGAGAGCCTCTGCATAGTCTCGCGAGAGCTGGCCTCTCCCGGCGTTGCCTTCCCCAGGTCTCGCGAGCGCGGCGCTCTTTCTCTGCCGGCGCGCACGCTGACAAGATGGTGGGTGCAGCTGGGCTGTTTCTCGCCTCCCGTCGCTGAGGGATGTGGCCGGGAAGGGGGTGGGGTGAGCGGGGCTTCTCCTTGCCCGTGGCCTGCTCGGGATGGTGTGGGACGGGATGGGATGAAATGGGGAGGGCGGCGAGGTGAGGCTGTTCGGGCCTCCCGCCGGCGGGCCCGGGCCTCCATGGCGCCTGAGCGGGTGGGGCCGTCTCGTTCCGATCGCGGCCGTGCTGCTCACCGCCGCTGTCGCTCCCTCATAGCCTTCCAGACTGCGGAAGACCAGGAAGCTGAGGGGACACGTCAGCCACGGGCACGGCCGTATCGGTGAGTGGGGGTGCCGTGCGGGCGAGGCACCGAGGCTGTCCTGTGGGAGAGCGTCGCCGGGTACCGGGTTGTGCGTGTATGTGGGGACGTAGAGTCTGAGAACGGGGCTGGGTGGCTTGTTAAACATGCAGTGCCTGTTCTTGTGTGTGCAGAGGACAGAGTAAGACTGCAGACATCAGAGTAATTAGCTGAAGTTGGCATTTAATTGTGGTCCGAAGTTAAAGCATTATATTTTCTTGGTGTAACAGGTTGAATATTTCTTTTCAGGCAAACACAGGAAGCATCCTGGAGGCCGTGGTAATGCTGGTGGTATGCACCATCACAGGATCAACTTTGATAAATAGTAAGCTAGCATTTCAAGTTCGTACTAGCAAAAAATGCTCATTTCTGAAGTAGAAACAACTATATTTTATATGTGAACCGCTGAACGAACTTACAATTTTTTTTTCTAACACAAAGCGTGGCTTCACAGCTGCCATCAATCCATGTCCTCATTTTATCTAAACTCGAAGGCCTTTCTTAAATTAGTCATCTTGCAGAACTCAGTGAATTTGATCAAACTTGCTGGCTAGAATGGTGTCCAGCTAACAGATGCACACATGAATTGTTACATGAATTAGAAACGTTACATAAATCAGAACTGCTCTTTAGCTGCCTACTGTAGGGAGTGGGGGTTGTTGACTGAATGCCGAGACTAGAGTCACGTCTGGACAGTGCCTGTTGTCCTGATGTGCTAGAGTACTCGAAAAGTAACCACTAATCTATATTCACTGGCTGTGAGCATTCCTGTCTCAGTCAGTCACCAGATTAGTGACAGGAGCTCTGGAGCTCCTCATGCAGTGCAGTCTTGCCTGAATTCACTGACTTGATTTTGCAATGGAAATACGGATTTGGGCCAGACTTACCATGAGGAGGATTAAATTGTAAGTTCAAGGGAGAAGAGGCAATGAAAAGATTTTTTTGTGGCTTGGGTAGCAGTGATTATTACAGTTGAATACTATGTGTATAATGCAAAAGTGAAATAATTTTTTAAATTTTTTTGATTACTCTGAGCAAGTTAAGATCCTTGTTTCAGTGTTAAAATCCTACCGATTCAGGATGAATTAAAAATGTGATTTAACAAGAAATGTATTTTCTTTCACAGTCACCCTGGCTACTTTGGAAAAGTGGGTATGAGGCACTATCACTTGAAGAGAAACCAAAAGTTCTGTCCCACTGTCAATTTGGATAAACTATGGACCCTTGTAACTGAGCAGACAAGACTCAATTATGCAAAAAACCAGGCTGGACTGGCCCCAGTCATCGATGTCGTGCGCTCAGTAAGTTTCTGCTCAAATTCAGGACTGCAGTTCCTGCTCATTTAACGTGTTACTTAGCTTTGTGTTTCAGGCTAAAATGGTAAACTGCAAATAAATTGCAGTGCCTGAATATTTGTAAATCTGGAACATAATTGTGTATCTTAGCATATCAGTACGTAAACTAGTGTTTATGTTGTTAATGTAAGAATGACTTCCCTTTTTTTGAAAAGTGGTAGGTTGTTTAATTGCCAGAAGCACATGTGAAAACATCACAGTGCTGTTCTCACTTACAGAAAGCCATTTCTAATACTGAGAATAGAGTCACATCTTTACATGTTCTGTTGTTCTGGTGTGCTATCGTTCTCAGACATAAACTTCTGATCCTCATTCACTGGCTGCGATACCTCATATCTCAGTCAGCCACCAAATCAGTGACAGTAACTACCTTATCAAGTAGGTACGCTCTGCATCTGAGAAGCCTCCTTGTTGGCTGGTTTTGCCACTTCTGAAAAACAGTGACTTTAAAGGCTGTATTACTAATCGGCCTTGTGCCACCATTGTCCTTTTAATGGAGAGGACGGGGGTGAAATGAGGGGATTCCAACAGAGAGGTGATGTAAAGAGCGTGGGCCAGATGTAACTGGCTAGTAGTTAGCTGCAGCAGTGCAGTCTGCTGCTCTGTCCTTTGGAAAAGTGGGAAGCAGTCAACAACTTCTTTACAGGACTTGGCATTGTTTTCTGTATGTGGCTTTGGGAAGGTAACAGCTTCACATGTTCTAGATTACTGAAAAAGCATAACCACCTCATAGTTTCTACTTCTCTGAACAAACACTACTGCAGTAGCTCATGCAGGATATATTTTACCAACTTAAAGAGATGGATGAGGAATTTAGGTCGCAGTGATGATCATAGTTCTGGTTTTTATTGATGTGTGCTAAAAGACAGAGTGGAAGAGCCTGGAAGTTGGTTGCAAACACTAAATGTTGTCTTTTTTATTGTTTTTCTTTAATCTTTCTAGGGTTACTACAAAGTCCTGGGCAAGGGCAAGCTGCCCAAGCAGCCTGTAATTGTGAAAGCAAAGTTCTTCAGTAGAAGAGCAGAGGAGAAAATCAAAGAAGTTGGTGGTGCCTGTGTGCTTGTGGCATAAAGGCCTTAGTTTTATTCAAACTTTCTGAATAAAGACCAATGTGTAAAATGTGTTGATTTATAGAATTTTCTGACTTTTTCTTTTTTGTCTTGTCCTATGCTGTTCACATTAAGTCTTATCCATGTAGTTATTTCTGGCTGTATTGTGTAGTGGTTTGACAGATGCTTAGGGTGATTTGAAACTGCCTGGTTGCAGTGCCAGCATTTAACACTTGAAGAAGTACCTCCTATGGTACCTTCACAAAGTAGCAGTGTACACTGGCTTTTCTTATAGCCAGACTTCCTTTGCTTTAAGGAGGTATCACAACCCACTCTCCCTCAGGGTTGGGCAGCTGTTGGGCACAAGCTTGGGGCCATGGTGCCTCAGGGTGCATGACTGAGGGCTTGGTCCTTGTTGAGGCTTAGGCTGGTTTTGCAGCCCATTTACCCTAGAGCCTATTCCTCAGATGTATCTTCCAAATAGTCCAGAATATCTGGGGAAAGTTTGGAACATAAGAGGCCTGAGTAAATTGCAACTTCGCTGCTTTTACCACCTGATTTCATGAATGTGACTAAATTCTCACCTTGTATTTCTGTGGAAGGTCATCACATGTTTGGAATTTGAGTCCTTATGTGCTGAGTGGCAAGGAAAAAACTTGATTTCCCTCATTTAGGCTGATGGCCGAAAAGCCAGGCCCTTTGCCTTGCAGGTGAGATTGCTGCCAGCTGCTTCCCCTAGCTCCCTCACACGCAGATATTTCATTTGCAGCCTCTGATGCTGGACATGATGTCTCCCATGGGCCACTGGTAATGTAGCTGCCTGACTGTTGGTTTGCATTCCTGACTCAGCAGGAAATTTTTTCTCACTGTCGTCCTCCATCCTTCCAAAATGCTTGTGCTTAATTTCTCCTGTTAGGAAAAACTAAAACATAAACTAAAGGAGTATGGAGCCTGCTTCTACTCATTCAGCTGCTTGTCTGGTCTTCGTGGTGGTGCAACATATCCCAGTATTTGGTTTTGTGTTTGCAGTGATTCTCTGCGTTTGTGCTTTGGCTCTGGGCTGTGGTTTCTTTGCCTAAACTGTGGTAGTCTAAGACCTCAAATTCCTATTGCAGATGTTGCATATTTCTGTAGGATCTGGTTTGTCACCTTAGCAATGGTATTTGCAAGAAACGAAGGTGGCACAAGCCAAAAAGCTGTGCTGCCCTAATGGTGTTTGTCTCTGAAAGATGATGTGATGCATCACGTGCCAGATGTGATGGATGCCCCATATCTGGAGACATTCAAGGTCAGGCTGGAGGGGCTCTGGGCACCTAATTGAGCTGCAGATGTCCCTGCTCATTGCTGGGTAGTTGGACTGGATGGCCTTTAAGGGTCCCTCCCAACTCAAATCGTTCTGTGATTCTATCCTGTAATAATTGCTTTTGTACCATCTGTTACTTAAACTGCAGGTACAGTCACCACAATTCATTTCTAAACAGACCAGTTGTTTTGATGCTACAACTATGTTTTAGTGATGGGTTTGAATTTGTTGAAGTGCATTCAGTAAAGTTGATGGATATCTACCTTTTCTTAGTAGTGGGTCTTGGGTATGAAACTACTTTTTTAAAGTAGTTTGAATAATTAGGATTTCAGGATGCAATACTTTTAAAAGGATTTAAAAAAAAACAAACCTATTTGTGGACTTCTGAGATGTCTATAATTTTGTTTCATTAAAGAAGAAGGTCTTTCTGCTAACCATTTCCATTGGAATCTTGCTTGAGCTGGACTCCCCCCAAGGGGATGTTTATCCCTAAGGTTAGAGCTGCTGCTCTTCTGTGATGGGGAGATCTGGAGACAGCTGCAAGTTTGTACTGCTGGCAGCAAGGCCACCACGCCAAGGCAGTGAGCAGTCATGTAGGGCTCTGGCCCCACCAGAGGGTTCAGTCAGCCAGAGGGGTGCTTCCAAAGGAGATGAGACTGCTTGCTTTTCCTTCTTGGATGCAACTTGCCAAAGTTTCTCATTGCAGGCTGTATCTGACATCTCTGTACATTTGAGAATCAAGGATGGTACACGATCTGCAAAGTACTCAACTCATCTTGAGGAGTTTAGGTTGGCAAAGGAAATGTCCTGCTTGCAGAAAGTTCCAATTTGGTCTATAACCTGATGTGTGTTCGTCTTGACTGGTGAAATTTGATCACTGCAATGTGCACTTTATTAGATTTCTAAGAAGCTCAACAGAAGTTGCATCATATTTATCAAGGCAGCTTTCTAATGGGCATTGCTGAAATGATGGAGGTACGAGCAGTTATGATTGTCTTTATTTGCTTTACCTGCAAGCTCTGAAATATTGAGGTGTAATTATAAAAGCAATCAGAGAATATCATTATTTTTATTGCATGGTTTCAGTGCTTCTAGCAGGAAATGTACAGCATGTGACAGTTCAGCCCGATACCAGCTTTGTAAGCAGATCAATAGAACAGATTACTTCAGTTTTTTACAAAAGCTGCAAGTACTATAGAGAGATAGTGGGATCATGGTTTGTAAACCTTAAACCACACTTTCCTGCACAACAATCTGCAAAGGTTTGGTTTGGTTTTTGTTTTTGGGTTTTTTTTGGGTTTTTTTTTTTTTTGGTAAAGCGGGTTATGTGATTTTTTTTTTTAGCTGCAAGGAACTTCCTCTTTATTCAAGGGACTGAGTAAGTGTTGTTTCTGAGAACGTGCACCCCACTGCTGCCTTCTATTTTGTGCTTGAGAGATCAAGTGTTTTGGGAAGCAGAGGGGCTGACATGAGCCATTTTGTGACTCTTCGTGTTCTTGATGTCAAACCTCAGCCAACGGCAATGGAGCCCCTGGATGTGCTGAGGAAATGCTTGGTGTGCAAATGGGATCTGTGCAGGAGAGACCCCAGGATGCTGCCATGCCTTCACTCCTTCTGCAAGGACTGCCTTCCAGAGCTGATTCAAGGATACAGCTACATTTCCACTGTGCATGAAGTTGTATATGAAGGTAATGTTTATGAGCCTCTGATTGACTTAGGTGCTTTGTAATACAGTATTATAAACATGTATGGCTTGAGGAACACTTCTATGTAGCTACTTTGAAAGAATAAGCTAGGAGACTCAAGGTGTATACGAGCAAGGAATGGACTGAGGAAAACTTCCTTTAGCACATTCTCCATCCAGCAGCAGTGCTTTGAATAGAAATGATGCAGACAGACAACAATCATGTTTTCCAGAAGGGTCTTGGTTTCATTTACCAAGTGTGACTTTATGAATATTTGCTTTGCTTAAAACATACAGTGAAATGCAAGAAAGTAGTTGCTAGGCTAAGTTAATATTTATTCTTTTGGACATGTTGGACTTCTCTGTGGTTGTGGTTAGAGTTAATATACCTCCTCTTCTCCCTTTCCTGTCCCTGCAAACACCACAGTAAACAGTGACATCCGGCTCTTTGCTCTTCATGGAGGGCACAGCAATTGTTATTAGAATATGGGTATTGTGGTGCACTGAAACTCTGCGCTTTCCTTTTGTTCTCATTTTAAGTGTGGTTTCACTCTATCTAAGCACTTATGACTGAGGGATATGCTGTAACTTGTCCTAACAAATTGCCTGAAGCTGGCTAGGACATGAAGCATTTTCGGCTGTGTAGCTTTTCAAGTGCTGAAATCATTTGTACGGTTTCTAGTGATGCTGTTAATAGAAAATATGTAATTTTTTTTTGAATGAAAAGGGGCTTCCATCTCAGAATACAGTCATTTTAACTGAATGCGGCTTAATTACCATGGGGAAGCATTCCAAACTCATTACTAATTTATAAGGAGAGCAAAGGCACATAGATTGCTTGTATTTCCACAGGCTTTGAACTCTAGATGAATAAATCACATCGTTTATTATCTCTTCCAAAGCAGGTTTTAGAAACATGCAGGAATAGAAGATATTTTCCCTAAGGTGATGATAATCTGCATTGATGTGATAAAATAAACTAGATAAGTTCAGGTTCAAGCACAAGTGGAAATAGTGTTAGAAGATGACTGCTGAAAAGCTGGCAGAACACAGAAGATAAAGGAATAACTGAATGGCAAAGGAGAAAGGCTGTTTGTGGGAGGGTGCAGACAGGAAAAGACATAAAGGTAGGGAAAGCAGGCAGCAAAGCAGTCATTTCAAGGAAATGCCTCCTTGAAATGTTAAATGCGCAGTCACACCAAGTTTTAAGTATGAGGGGCCTCTTTTGTAATTGAGTGATGTTGAAAACCACCACTACGTTGTTGTTTTTTTTTTGTGTGTGTGTGTGCTCATTTGACATCTATGTCATTCCTTTCTCCTCCTTGTTTTTGTTTGCAAAGTGGAAAAAGGAATTTATGCTTCTTGATCTTGGGTGAAGTGCAGCTGGGGGTTCTCATGAATCATTAAAATATCAGATGTTTATTTGGGCACCTGAGAGCGGGTTGGGAAATATTTGTCTACAGGAGATTGGAAGAAAGAATGGTCCACATCTATATTCTTGAAGTTTCTCTGTTTACTTCTTCATTCTCTTGTAGTTGGGAAATTTCTATGGGAAAGGAAAAGACTGGAGAAATGGTAGAGGAAAGAAATAACGCACAACGATGACCCACTGTAAATGAAGTGAGACACCAGGTGCAAAGACTCCATTCATATATAAGCAACAACAGCAGCAAAACCAAAACATCTGTGTCTCTTCAATCAGTGATTGAAACTGCAACCACTGTGAGTCAGCCAGGATGCATTTGTGAAATCCTCTGCCACTCACGGTGCACTGTGAAAACATATAGTTGGTTCTTGTGTGCTGCCCTTCTGGGCCTGTCTCTTTCTCACTGAGTTCTGAAAGCACTCAAAGCCAAATCTGTCTGAATTAGGGGTTGGCATCAAAATAAATTCCTCTTTATGTGTAAATCTTTCTTTCCTTCAGATATTTGATGATGTAAATCATTTTCATACTTTCAATGTCACAACTCCGGAAGGAGCAGGAAGAGAAGCTGTAGAGGTGTGTTGTGAAAGGTTCATGTTTTTTAGAGACATCTTGAAGGCTGCTTATTTGTCCTCTCTCTCAAAAAAAAAAAAAAAAAAAAAAAATCACATGCAGCCACTGTTTAAATCATAATTTAGGCCCCAGAGAGCAATGTTCTTATACTAACCTTCTGTGTTATTTTTTTCTGAAACGCTATTTTAGAAACATGCTTTGGCCTTTCTCTGGCTCAGATAACAAAAATCACGGAAAATGGCTGCATAATTTCTTTCAACATTCTGCAGAGAAGTCTAAAACTGTCTGCACTTGTTTGACACTAGCTTTCTATGAGCAACCAAGGGTCCAAGATCCTTGCTTAAATGCCAACTAATGTGGCGGGGTTGCATGTTAGAGAAATGCAAACTGAAGAGATAAAATAAGCGAGAACAGAATATGAAAGTGAAGAAATGTGACTTTGCTGTTGACACGTGCCAGCTTGCTGTGCTCTATTACTGCTGGCTGAAAATACATGGCTTTCTTATCTAATAAGAGTGGTGTTCTGCAGATTCCCCATTGCACAGGCCTTTCAGTGAAGGACATCCAACAGTTGGCCTGGCACTGGCCATACTTGCATTTTTCCTTCAGAGTTATCATCAAGGGGTTGTTTTAAGGAGGTTGAGCTCTGACTCTTTTGGCTCTAGACTTTCACAATGATATTTTGGCATAAGGTGTATGGTATGCTGGCATAAGAGCAGACTCCAGGCACAAACGCGGTGACTTGACTTATACTATATCTGTGTGTAAGACAAAATGCACTTCTGCTGAGTTCTGTAGCCCACTTTTAGGCTTGGAGTGGAGCACCTTGCCCTTCTTGGTGTAACAGTTTTTCTGACTTGATGCCCCAAATAACATTGTTTTGGTGCGATCATACAAGGCAAGTGATGCAATGCATTGCTCCTATTAGTTCTGAAGGAGAACACCAATTTGCTTTAATTAGATCCACTTAACACTAAGTATATCTTTCATTTCAAAAAAGGAAGTAAAAACGTTATTCCAAAAAGGGCACTCTTGAAAATATATTAATTTAGGCATCCTAGAATGTGTTTGAGGTTACTCATCCTTTCTCACGTGGTTGTTCAGATGCCTGATCCAAAGGGCAAGTGAAACAGTGGGGGACTAGTTACATAAATATGAAGCTGTAGAGCAGGAGGTTGTCCTCAGAACTGTTTCCTATAACCTTTAATTGGGTCTCCAAGGAAGCGTAAATTACGCCTGCAGCTTGAGCTGTAGCTAATGCTCTGTGAGAATAATTATTCTGCTGATTGCTGGAGGAAAAAGAGTGGAGGGATAGGTGCAGCATGCAGACAGCCTGTATGTGTGATAGCTCCACTGTTTGTTACTTTATGCTAATCAATTCTTAGGGCAATAACAGGTGAATTATCTGTGCTGGATCATTTCCCAGACTACCAGCTTAAGGGCTCTTCCTGTTCAAACCTGACTACACTGGAGGACCTTGAAACAAGCCTGTGAGCCAAGGCTTTAGGTACTGAAAGGGTCTTTCTACTTCGTTTGTGTACAGGCTGCAGACACTAGTTTGCACTTACAGGAATGATTGCTGCAAATTTTCTTCAGCTCTGTCACTTACAAATTAGATTATTGCATATAGGTGAATTAAAAACATGAGGGCTCCCCAAAATTTTAGGTCTTTGTGTTTTTACAGAGGAACTCTCAGTACAAGGGTCACTACCTTGCTGTCATAGACTCGTAGAATCAATCACCAAGGTTGGAAAAGATCTCCAAGATCATTCAGTCCACCTGTCCACCTATCACCAATATTTCCCACTAAGACATGTCCCTTAGTACAATATCTAAATGTTTCTTGAACGCCTCCAGGGACGATCACTCCACCATCTCTCTGAGGAGTCTGTTCCAGCAGTTGATCCTCTTTTGGAAAAGAAATTTTTGCTAATGTCCTGTCCACATACTTTTCTCTTTTGCGGAGATGAAACTGTTTTAGGGTGTGAGCAATGAGGTCTGCAAGGAGTTAGGACTTGAATGGTATATGCCTGAGCGGGCTTTGGTGGCAGAATGCTGTTGTTTTCCTGAAAGCTGATTTTGGATCTCCCAGATATGGGATTGAAATATTCAGGTTGGGTGTTTGTGTCTGCCTATTGGATCCACCGTTGTGGAATTTTCTCCAACCTACTGTCTAGCTACTATTGGAAAGATAGAGGTGTAGGACATCTTCACATCCCTCTGGTGATGGAGATTCCTGGGAGTCTGTTGAATGTGGTCTTCAGCGATTGCTCAGTACTACCTGATAGCTCAGACACATTGAGAATAGCTCATCTGTGTTTTTGCTGTGTATCGTTCTGAAGTGAGGTTTTGTCCTGCATGTCACAGTAACGTGGCACACAAATCCAATGTAAGTATCCTTGCTAGCCTTCATAAATGCATACCCACATCATTAGCAACCAAATGTGATGTCGCAAATAGTGATTTCAGAAGATTAAGAGCTGTTAGTAATGAACTTCTGAAAAAACAGCTTATGCAAATGTTGCTATCTCCTTTCTACCACTATAGTTCAGATGCAAACTCTATGAAGTTTATGACAACAGCTCATAGTTTTTTTTTTTCTACCTCAAGAGATTTTGATAGCAATAATGTCCCTCATTTGGGCATCATGATTGCATCATAACAGAATTTGTCTCCTGATCTCTTAATGTATAAACTCTGTTGTTTGAATGCAGTAATTCCATGTTGGATTGCTATTTAGATCCAGAAGTTGCATCATTCTCGTATGTACAAACAGTGAATCTCTAGGGCTCCTGGCTACTCTTCCCTTCACCCACAGTGTGTAACAGTAACATATGCAAGTGAGCTGTCTGCAAAGTACGGATTCTTCTAACAAGCTAACTGCTTTTTAGAAGCAGCGGTCAGGAGGTAAGGCAAGAGAATCATGTAGGGAATGGTCTGTGAATTGTACCACGGAGTGAGTGGTGTTATGAGACCTACTGCTACCTGAATCTGGAAAAGCTCTACTCTTTCCTCCTGCACACTGGCTCCAGGTTTTTGTGAGGATTAGGAGAAGACCCAGGCAAGAGAAGGAGGAGGATGATATTCATTCCATCTGTGGGGTTTTTATTTCACTTGTTCAGGAAAAATGCAGCCAAGGCAACTTAATGCAGAGCTGAATGAATCTTAGGAAAGCCGGAGAAAAATCCCATTCACTTTGTAGTGGACCAGTACATCTCTCTGCCCTGCTGATTCATTAGCATTTCTTGCTGAGGAGGGGAGAGCACCCCCAGATTCTCTGCCAAAGGTGCAGCTGCTTCCACCTGCAGTATAGCAAAGGCTGATTCCAGGGAGCACACTGTGTGTGCAGTTGTGCTTAATAACCCTCTGCTCCTGACATGAGTGACTTGGTGTGTAACGAAGTGACTGGCTATCCTGAGGACAGGTAAGGAGTTTCTGGGAAGTCATACTTTAATGATGATTTGTACTGCAAGCATAAGCACAGCGAGGTGCACTCATTTTGTACTGTTGAAGTAGCTGCTGCTTGGGGCTCTTGGTTAACATCTATGTAAGATTTGCTTAATTTCTGAACAATTGCTTCAGAAATCATTCTGTAGTGCATTTATGATGCCAAAATTTTATTAGACTCCTTGAGAATTTATATTGAAAAATATTGGGAATTTCAAGGGAGCACATGTTTCTGTTAAATGAAAAAGGCATGACATGAGAAGTAAAATCAGATAAACCATTGTGATCTTCAATGCTTCCACATTCAGGGAGTCCTTCCTCTATGCTTCTGGTGGAGTCTGAAGCATAAAACCCAGTATTAGGAGATATGAAAAGGCTGGCTTGTTCTTGTATGAGTAGGAAACTACTTCTAGTACTGCCATGGTGTCCCCATTATTTCATCTGTTAACTTATAGTGTTCATTCTGTCTTAGGTTGGAGATCATTGTAATTCAGTTATTTGGCTATTTGAGGCATTCAATCAAAGCAACCATTTGATGGTCTGCAGTGATGATTCTAACACAACGTTTGACCTGTTTGTTTGGGGCTTGATCTGTGCAAGTAGCGTAACTAAAACCTAAAATATGGGGATAAATTGTAACATGGTATGCTGGGCATTGCTTTTAGATATCCTCAGCTATTAAACAGCATTAGTGTCATGTACCCCTGAAATCTCTGTGGTTTTAAACTCCTTAACACAATTGTATTTCTTAGCATGCATAAGAAGGCATTTGTGCAGAACTAAAAAACACACGAAAAATATGTTTTGTTCAGGTGGGAAGTATTGAAGCTTTCTTTAAAGAACATTAAAAACACGATATTGCCTGTTCTTAAATTGATAATGTTCTTTACACACTGTATTTTATACTTTGCTGGTTTGAAACAGATTAGCACAATTTAAAGTTCATGTGAACTAGCCTGAGCTTCACATTAAATATCTTTCAATTGGTATAATTTGGTTTAACATTCTGTACTAACTGGGTAGTATGTTGAAGTATTAAAAAATATGTAACTTCAATATTAACTTTTTTTTAACCTCATGGAGAATTGACAGAAGTTGTCCTTGCTGTAGCAAAGTCCTGAGTGCTACCTTTGTTTTCCTGTAAGCTGTTGCTCCCAGAAATGCTTTGTTCAAGATTGTGTGCTCACCTGTGTGGTGTGTCAGTGGAGGAAGCTCTGATGGCCATGCACTCTTTCCTTAAGAAAGTAACCTGCTGAGAATTTTCTCTTAGGTCAGTTTGTGGCACATTATGTAGCTCAGTATGGAGGCTTTATCTCTGTGTTAGCCAGATCAAGAGCTGGCACCGTTTGGGCAATTTCTGTTACTGATGTAAGAAACTGGTTTGCGATCTCAAAGGGCTAGAGGCAATTCCCTGTGAAGTCACTAGATGGTTTCCTATCAGCTGCACCAAGAATTAGAGCATGTCCCACGGGACTTATTTGGGACGCTGCTTGCAAAGTAGCTATTTTGCTTCCCAGCTTATCAATCAAAATGTATTTGCCTCTTTATTTCTGTGACTGTCTTGCTTTGTAAGAGTTCATGTGGAAGCTTGCCCAGTTTCACCTTCTAGGAATTAGTGCTGCAATTCCCTGACACTTGCAGTGCACACCATTTGCAAGGAGCTGGGGGCACTGTTTGGATGGTGCATCTTATCTTAACTGCTGCAGTGCTCCTGCTGTTATATTTCTCCAGAGGGCTGAGCTTTTAATGGAATGTCTAAAAGACACACAATCATAATTTGGGAAAGCGTGAGATGGTTATTCTGTGACAATACAAAAGCTGTTGTCTTAGGGTGTAACGTATGAAGGTGATTAGCTACAAAGATTGTAGATAAATACAATAACCTTTTAACTGTGCTCATTATTATTAAGGATGCAAAGGAGAGGAAAAGGTTGAAAGACTTCTACAGCTTTGTGCAATTGTGAGCATCTTTATCAAATGGGTTTCTAGCCTCTTTGTAGCTCTGTCACTAGAGCACTCTTAGATGAGGTGCTGATTCTGTACCCAGGGGATGAGTACAGTGTTGGCAATTGTGTTGGCTTGTGTTACCCTTTCCCTTGGGGTGCCTGGTAGCTGGGTAGCATGGCCACCTGGGGGCTCATGTGCACCAGTGTACAAAATGCATGGTGAAACAAGGGTGAGGCAGGCAGTAGTCTTCTACCTGAGCCTACAAATCATAGTTTAGTTGTAAATGCAACCTTGGAAAATAGCAGACAATATACTTTTGCTTTTCTTAGAATAATGAGGCTAAAAAGGTCTAAAACTTGTGGCAGCAATTCTTTGTAAGAAGTCCTGCTTCATAGGACATGTAATGGAACTCAATGTTTTTTCAAAGGAATATGAAAGAAAATGAATGTAGTCAGGTATCTGACTACAGACTGATTCTGTCAGAAGTGGTAATGTAGAAAGGGTTTGTGGTCTGTGTGTCTCTGATAACGTGATGCCCTGTTGTTAAAACAGCAGTAGCCCAAGTCTAAAATGAGGGGCAGGCAGGGTTTGAACTGTACTTGTGGTCAGGAATCAAGGAGCTGTACCACGAGGGCAGGTAGCAGTAGGTACCTGGAGAACATCAGTGTCTATGGTGACCATTTCATGTGAAGAGTAATAGACAACTTCAGATTGAATTAGTCTACAAGCCACTCTCCTTATTTAAAAGTAATTTTAGTGAAGGAAAGAGAACATTGAACAACGCCAGTCTAGTAGAAAGTTGTGATTGATCTTTCTTTTAAGAACCTGCCCTAATGAGTTTGCATCGTTTAGCCATGGAAAATGTTGCTGTTTGTTATTGTCAGTGATCACTTGACCAGGTAAGAGCAGCTTTGAAATTTTGGAAATTTCTCAATGGAATGGAAAGAGTTAGATTTGAAAAATGTCAAGGTAAAAATAGACTGGCACCACAACTTCTACAGGTAGTTTGCTGAAACGTGATCGAAACATGCACTTCCCTTTTCAAAAAAGCACTGGACCATCTAGCAAAATATGAATGCTAGTCCCAGAAGCCCAGGGTTGAAGTAACTGCATGACTGCGTTTTTGCATCTCTCTAAGGACAGCTTCTTAAGCTGCAGTGTTAGTTCCCAGCCAAACTAACACAAGGGTTTATACCAGCTGTGTATTAGCCTATGGAGGTGGAGCTAGGTTTTGCTGCTCATGTTGCTTGCATTGCTTTCACTGCTTCAGGAATGTCAGCAGAACATGTCCCACTGTCCTTTTGTCACTTGTGGATTTGTTGTAGTAGATGTCCTGTAATTTTGGTTTTTAAAGTTGAAACTTTTTAAACTTCATTCTGATTTTCTTTCCTTCTGCTAACAGCTTGTTACTTCTTCGTGGCTTCAGTTGAATAGCATGGCATACTGTAAAAGTGGCAGGAGGCAGTATGTGTTTTATGCTTTGGTGTACCTCTGGTAATGCAAAGCTGTTTTAGAAGAATGGTAGCTAGAAGAAAGCGCAGGTATATCTGTCACAACGGTGTGCAGCTTAATATGTAGCTCAGTTTTTATCAAAGTTGTAAGCCATGATAAATTCATGGCAATTTGCACTCATGGATATCCTTAATAAATACTGAGATAAATCAAGAAATCACCTGAACTGTGATGTATATTTCTAGGGATTTATTTTTTTTTCTTCCATATGTAATTAACTGCATCTAACCACAGGTATCTTAGGGCTTGAAGAATACCATAGTTTCCTGCAGATAAGTGTTAGTGTGATTTAAATTAAAAAAAAAAAAAAAAAAAAAAAAAAAAAGCCAGCAATACCTAAGTGTGGCTTCTGTTATTTCCTGGTTCACATTTCTGGTGTGCCCTGTTATATTTGTGTTTGTGTTTTCTTTTTCTATTTTTTTAATGTAGGTATTCTTTCCTGCCCGGCGTGCAAACAGACCTGTTTTGCAAGAGATGTAGTTGAAAATTGCTTTCTCAAGGATTTTCCCACTGCAAATTCAGCTATGGCAAAGGTGAGTGAAAACCACTCTGTAGGGTGCCTTGGGAGTTGTTAAAGCACTGACACTGTTTGACAAACAGAGCAGATCATTTTGAACAACAGAATCTTATGTTTTGCTTCTGCAGACTGTAAGTACATCACTGCTAGGGATGAGCTTCCTGCCTTCATAGTACTCTTGTAACCTTATTTGAAGATTGACCTTGACTGTAATAAAAAAAAAATATACTGATGCTAGTGATGTAGACTGAATCTGTGACAATTTATTTTTATTGTGTATATTATTATTATAATTATTGCTTACACATGTAATTACTGTGTATATATTATGTATTATCTGGATAATAATGGATTTCTTGGGTGCCTCATTATCCCCTTTCAGCTCTCAACACAAAGCAAACAGAAACAAAACTATTGGGTGAATGGTTACACTAAGATTACCCATTAGAACCTGTGGAAGATCATAATTTTTTGATTATTTTAATGATAAAAGAAGTCACATTGTATTTCAGTGTTTTTGGGGGGAATGGATGTAAAACATAATTGGAATACTTTTTCCATAACATATGGTGGAAGATCTATATTTCCACTCCTCTAAAATCCTGTGGGTGCAGCAACAATTTGTCCATTCTGCCCCATGCAGAAGGCTTCAGACCTCTTGAAGTTACGTGATTGATCCACTGATATAGTTGCAAGCAAGTACTGATGGGCTGTACATCTTCCCTATCAGTCATTTCCATGTTTCATTTTCTCAATTTTTAAAATGGAGGGAACGTGTAATCTCATCCATGCAGTGCTCTAGGGGAATTCAGAAATCAAGGTGAGCAAAGTGAGTGGTCTACAGCTCTAAGTTGCTTGAAGAGTGCTATGTAACTTTAAAAGAGAATGATACATTCACATATTCTCTGAAAAGAGCTAAATTCAGAGGATACTGTTGAATATGTAGAATGACCTTATTGTAATGGGATTTCTTAATTACTATGACTCACTTCATTTACCTTTCAATGAGAGTTGGTATAGAAAGGAAATCAAATGAGAAAATCTATTATCTAGATTGGTTTTTTAGACTTTTGTTAAAAGAATGTGCTTTTCTTTTTTCTTTTTCCTTTTTTTTTTTTTTTCTGTTCTGTAACCCCTTAGGAGTCCTACGAGCAGTTCAGTAAAGCAGAATTCTTACTGGAGCACAGGAATACCCCAGAAGGACTCAGGAACCTTCCTAATAGTTTTTCACTTTCTTCCTTTTTATTGACATTCATATGACAGAAAGCCCTGCTTACTGTCCTTTAAACACCCTCCTCTTAAAACTAGAGCCACATTCTTACTACCTATGGTATCAGGGGGAGAAGCACCAGCTCATCCAACTGAAGCACAGCCATCATTTTCTTAACTTACCTGATGTTCAAAAGGGAATCTGCCGAAGCCCATAACAGAGTGTTTGGGTGCAAGATGTTTTTCAGTGAGTTCTATCATTCAAAAATGATAGAATGTGCTACCTACCAGCTGCAGAAAGGTCAAAAGTATGCAGTTCAAAGTCTCTTGCTGAAAAGACCATTTCTACGTCATCAAATAACCTAACTCTGGGAGCTGCCTGCACAGCCCCACTGAAGAGAATGATGAAGTTCAAATGAATAATAACAGCTATGTTTTTGTTCCTCTGGTGAAATAAATCCTTTAAGCCAATCTTGAGTCTCAGAGTGAGGTGAATATGGTTGTTCCACTTAATGTTGATACTGTGGTTTAATACCCAGAAGACCAACACAGAAAGAGCTGTAATTGTTCTTCCCTTAGGATTTCTAAGGTCATCCTCTGATACACAGCAAAGAGAATATATGTATAATTTTACTTCATCAGGGCCTACATGCTGAATGCATGCTGCTATATATGTCTGTGTTTCCCATCAAAGTAACTGGATTCCAATTGTAACAAACCATATTGAAGGTAAGCTGATGGGCAACAGAATGGACGCCATAAGAGTCCCTTTGGCATCTATTCGCTGCTTTAGAAGCTGTGACAGTAGCAGTAATATTCAGGAGCTATGTGTAACTGCAGGAGGTATTTTGTAACTGCATACATCGTGTTGCATCTGATGACAAACCAGTGGCAAAGCTTTTATGCTTTGATGGTAAAATTACATCACTGTCTTCATTCTGCCCATTAGTCCATTACCGTTAAGACTTTTCAAATAAGGTATTTTATGCCTTATGCAAATCCTTTTTAAGTGAAAAGTCATTACACTCTTGAAATAACTCCTGAGTTCGTTCAGGATGACAAAGGAATCGAATCACCCACTTCAATTACATGCTGCTTTATTCATTTCACCCTTAGGGAGAGTTCCAGACAACATGGCCTATATAACAAAAGGCGTTTCCTATACTGTTGCATCAGTAGAGATGATCATTAGTTACAAGTTTGGGTTCAGCTGACATTCCCACGTCTGTCTTACGTTTTCATTTCATCACAGTTGATATCAGTATGTAAATTGATCTTGGGTCTGGTCAACTCTGAAGAGAGTAGGAAATAAGTTTTATGTTAAGAAAATACGGGTATTTCTGTATTGTTTTCTAAATTGCATTATAGTTGGCCTGTTCTACAACTGCACTGTATCACGTCAGTGGTTCATACAATGTTACAACAGATGAACTAATTTTAAGTGAAGCAATGTAGGTTTAGAGTAGCACTACTGAAATAGTTCCAATTTATATATGCAATTTCATATCAGTGAAAATAAGGAAACATCTTTCTGTCTCTATATACTTGCACATATTCATATGTGTGTGTCAGGTTTGTGTGCTATTGATGTTTTACAGCCATCAGGCTAAAAACAGTAAGAGAAAGGGATTACAAATCCCATCAATCATTTTCAAAAGTAACATCCCATAGCCCTCCTTAAACTGAAATCGTACAAGTCTTATTTTATAGTCTTGTGGCTCTTCTGGTTCACAAGAAACAAGTCATTGTGGTGATTTATTCTGACCCTGTGTGTAACGCAGCCCCTAGGGTTTTTGCTGAATCGTTCCTGCACTTTGTTATAATCACATCTTATTGTACTGGAGCACAGAAAGACAACCAATGTGATTTAAGAGTTTTGGATCTTAATTTTATTCCATTCCCTTTTACAACAATAGCCGAATTCCTAAAATCACTCAAGTCACACTAATCTAAGAAAGCAAAATAGGAAGCTTGCCAATGTAGCTAAGTCTTTTTCTAAAGGCTGATTTGTTATCCTTGTATGTAATTGCACTTTTTGTTCTTAGAGCTGCTCCATGTGTAAAGAGAAGAGACCTGCTCATATTCTCTGTACAAGCTGCAATAAGTGGCTGTGCAGCACATGTACAGAGGAACACAGGCATGGCAAGGAAAACGGGGACCACTTCCTGTCTGTATCCCTGAAGGGCTGCACAGGTACTGAAAATACACTTGAATATTTATATTTCATCTCATATCAGTTATTGACTAGAAAATGGAACAGCTGCAGACTGTGTGCCAGAGATATTGTGCTCTGCATGAGTGAGACTAATGCAGTCAATGAGAGATTATTTGGATTTTCTGTAGCTGTGTCTGAACTTGCCACAATCAGCGTTCCATGTTGTTTATAAGATTTTGGTATTTGTGCTTCATGGAAACAGTCTGTTCCATGTATTTTTCAGTCTGTGGAGTGCTAGGCTAGGGTTTGGTGGGCTACCAGGCCATCTGGTCTCGACTCTGCAGTATTTTTGTCTCCACTTGGGTGATTTCTTTAGGGAAACTGCCATAAAGCAATTGTCATGTTGATGGACAAGGTGTGGGAAGGAGAGTGCCAGACAGCAAAAGGCTGTGATTGCTGTAGGGTGTTCCTTTCGTAAGTGAAAAGCATGGTTTCTGAGTTTTACTATCAGCAATTATGAATGAAACCCACTGCAGATGTCTCATCCCTGTACAGTAGTGATCCACAGAGAGTGGTCATCTCTTGTTGCTGATCATTATTTTCTTTACTTCGAGTCAGTATTGAGGCATATGCTAACCTAAACTTACAAAAGCGATTTGTAACCTAAAATAAGAGTGTTGTAATTCTATAGAATGATTCAAGTTTACACTTTGCTTTCATCTGAAGTTGTTTGTGCTGCCCTATCACCTCCTTTATAAGGGAGCAGAATAAGGAAAATACATAGTAGTAGCTCACTGCTTACACAAATTATAATGTGACTTTAGAATTTTGCTTTAAGAAGCCTGTACTTTATTATTGCCATAGGTTGAGTTCTTTTAATTCCTGGCTGTTCATGCAAAATACAGTTTGAGGCACTTCACTTGGCACATGATGTGCCATTGACAAATAGAAGGTGAACAGAAAGTGTAATAATGATAATTGTCATAGAACCACCAAGGTTGGAAAAGACCTCCAAGATCATCCAGTTCAACCATCTACCACCATTTCCCCACTAAAGCATGTCCTTTAGTACATGGTCTAAACTTCTCTTGAACACTTCCAGGGACAAGCACAGAGGACATTTAAATATTGTCTAGGTCTTTTCTAGAGAATAATGTAAAATGAAGACCTCTAGTACCCCCTCAAATACCCTGATTAGATGGAAAATACATTTTTCTTCTTGAGTTGATGGCAAGATCAGAAAAGCAGTTTTGAGGCTCCGACTGTTTATAATTTCAATTCATGTTGAGTAAGCTTACGAGCTCGTGTTGTTGATAAATGATAGCAAGAAAATCTACCTGTGGCTTAGTTGTGGTTTTGTGTGTGTTGTAAAAATACAAAGATGAAAACACAAACTAAAATGTTTTCTCATCTTTTTAATCTTCAATTCTATTCAATTTTAACTTGAGTTCTGATCAAGATGTTTGTTTCTAGGAAAAGCACAAGCAGGCTTGTGCCCTTGTTTCATGTCAGATTTCTTAGAGTTCAACTCATTTTAAAACTAGAGGGATGTAGGTCTGATCTTAGTATAGCATAGGTTGAGAATACCATGACTCAGTGGTAGTTCCCACTGGTGTATCATTTGAATCAGGGACTTGCTAGTGGCAGCGGCTCTGGGTCTGTGCTGTAATTAGATTATATTGATTTTTATCCTCAGTTTGCATTTGAGATCTGCTCATCTCTTAAATCTGACAGAACTGAAAAAAAACACTAATTCCTCTAGGATGATTACAATTATCCAGAGAGTAAAAACCTTGCCAGAAAGAAAGAAAAGAAGAAAGAGAAATCATTACATGAAATGGTTATTAAGCTTCATTATACTTCGATCCTTAAGACAGCATCTTGTTATAAGCTGGAGTTTAATAGAAATAACTTGATATTGTGAGCTTGCATACTCTGCATGTGCTCAACACTTAGAAGGGTTTTATCCAACTTGTACTCAATTTTAGATAAATATTATGGACTTCTTATTTTTCCTTATATATATAAATATAAAATATATAAACCCCGTATGGGTGGAAGAGCATCCACCTGCTTGCTTATCTGCTAAATAATAATTAAAATAAAATCGATGTGGCTGTGTTTGTGAATGTAATGCAAGGGATTTTTCTTTGCCATTTTCTAGAGTTTCTGAGCATTCTATTGTGGACTGTGTTCCTTCCTTCCTTCTAAAATAATTCTACCATAACCAGAGTGGAGTGTGCCCACTTTACATGTTCACTATCCATTTGTAGTCTTCATCACATTAATCTTTAGAAAATCATTATAAGAACAGATATTAGTGCTTAATACCAATATCTTTTAGTTGCTGAAGTTGTGTTCAAAATGAACTTAAGTTTATGAAAAACAATTCCACACAGCTTTTTAAAAACAGAAGATTTTCTTGCTTGCACTGTGACTTCAAGTTTCTTTAATGTATTTGCTTTTCTGTGTTTTACAGTGTGGTTTTGTTAATTGGTTTGCAAGATCAGCACATTGAAAATCATGAAACAGGTACCCAAAATTGTTAGAGGGATTTAAATATCATGAGCGTTTAGAGGTCTGATTATTAATTCCTGAGTCTCTTTGATGTGATCAATGTGATGTGATCAATTTGTAGGATGGTGCTAGCAGGAAAAAAACCAAAACAAAACAAAGCACATGCACACACACAAACAAAAACCTCAAACCAAATTCCCATGCTTTGTATAATCAAATTGTTCCAAGATCTGAGTCTTTAGAAGTAACATCAAGGTTTATAAATTACTAGTTTGAAACACTTTTGCTGACCTACAATAGCACTTCTGGTCAATGACACTGTTGCTTTATGTTCCTCAGTGACTGAAGAAGAGGCAAATGAATTGCCCTTGCTTTGTCCAGTGCACACTCAAGAACCACTCAAGCTCTTCTGTGAGACCTGTGATATCCTTACGTGCAGCAGCTGCCTGCTGAAAGACCATAAGGAGCACAGGTACCAGACATTAGTCGCCTCGTCTTTCGCATGATTCTACCTAAAAGCGTATCTTATTCAGATTTAGGACTGTTCCATCTGCATTTCCTATCAACTGAAATTTCAGCGCAGTGTAGCTTCATAGCCACAGCAAACTCAGTTCCATTGTCTTTTGCTCAGGGAGCTTAATATGTTGGTTACAGCCCCTGCAGAACTCTACGCTGTTCTCAGCAGTTCCTTCCAAATTATTTTATCTTTCAGACACAGTATACAGAAGTATCTTTAAGCACCATCATAGAATCATTAAGGTTGGAAAAGACCTCTAAGATCAAGTCCAACTGCCAACCCATGACCAACAAACGTGAGACTCTAGATGAGAGTTCAGCTCCATCCTTAGCATGGTCCAAATCTGTTATTCAGTTCTGAGGTGTATGAATCATGTAAGGAATTATCTATACACAGTGGCAACATGACTTTTTGTGAGATGCGCTGCCTTTATGTAGGGTGTTAAATCTGGGATAGCTGTCACGGCATTTGTGGTAGGAAAAAGCAGAGGGTTATGTCCGGACAGACATGAAGGCAGCTGCTCTCCCAAACTGTCCATCTGAGGGCAATTGACTTGAACATACCTAATTTTTTTCTGCTTCAGGCATACAACTTCTGCTTTCAAATACAAAAGGCTAAAATGGATCCCTAGGAATGTTTGGAAAAAGGCAGGAGAAATGTGAGAAGAACAGTGCCTGTGACAGTTAAAATGGATTGTCTGGGTTGCAGAATCAAATTCCCTCACACATGTACTATAGGCAAAGACACTGGGTAATGGCCAGAAAAATAAAGAATGACCATATCTGAGCATTCAGTGTACAGGTTTGGAAGTTCAAGTAGGTCCCAACTAATCAAATCACACATGATAAACTCCTTAATCAGCATGGACTGTCAACCTTCAGCAATGTAAATAATTAATTTTTGGGCTGGTAAGGAATGTTGTTAAGAACATATTTTAAGACATTGAAACCAAGACCTTCTGGCCATCCACCAGATATCTAGAATGACCTCTTTCTTTTAAATACCTCTATGTCTTCGCAGTTATGATATTCTCCCAGGGAAAGAAGAGCAAAAACCAATGTTTAGGCCACGTGTGATCTGTGTTCAGTAAAAAATCCAGAACTAGATTGTATTTTATTTTATTTTATTTTTTAGGGAGCAGCTGGAACTGCTTCCTTTCCTTTCACTGTGGGATTCAGATTTTAAAGATAAAGCAAAACTGATCCTTGCGAGCTGTGCATCTGGCCCAGGTTCCTTAGAGAAGTCTGTGGCTGCAGGGAGAAGCAAGCTCTACCCGATGGAAATGCAGAGCAGCAGATGAAGACTAGCAATGGGCAGTTGTACTTAATGGCATAATGCTGCGGTGGTGACACCAAATCCCTCTAACCTATTATAATAGCAGGAAATGTAAACAAGGCTTTATTTAAGCTTATAAAAGAAAAAGCAAGACATTATCAATGGAAATGAACATACAGTAAAGATTTCCCCTTCCTTTGCAGGTTCAGACTTCTTGATGAAGCTTTGCAAAATCAGAGAGCTATCCTGGAAAATGTTGTAGCTAAAGTGGAAGAGAAAAAAAGTGGAATTCAGGTTTCAACTAAACAGATTGAAGACAGGTAATTGTTTTGCATTTATTTCAGAAGATGAGATATGAGTTAAAATACTGTTTTCACTGAACACAGGTTACCATAATAAAACACAGATACAATTCCTTTTCTTTGAGAAGAGGTAAAATGAAGATTAAAACTATCAAATTTATGTTTAAGTTATGTCACGTTCACAGCATTGTAATACAAGATTCCATAGTCCTTATGAGGCACCTGACAGCTAGTTTCAAAGACTTCTTTGTATACTCTACTGTTTCTGACCTAGAATTTGAAATAATAGAAATAAGAATTATTTTAAAAATCATAGAATCATAGAATGGCCTGGGTTGAAAAGAACTATAATGATCCTTATGCTTCAAATCCCCTGCTGTGTGCAGAGTCATCAACCACTAGCACAGGCTGCCCAGAGCCACATCCAGCCTGGGCTTGAATGCCTCCAGGGATTCAAAAATAACTGAGTTCTTCAGAAATCTCAGAACAAACTGTGTTTCCAGTCAAGGTTACTATAAAATGGGAAGAGAAGAATGGCAGAACTTAGAGGAAATGGTTCAGCTTTCATTGGATTTCTTAGTCAACATTTAGATCAGTTCTTGTAACAAATACCTACCAAGCACTGAATAAATGATACACCAGTTGGCTCATCCAGGGATATGTATTTCTTCCCTGCAGGTTGCTTGAGGTAAAACATTTATACAAAAAAGTGGAAAATCAAATCAAAATGGCCAAGATGGTTTTGATAAATGAAATCAATAAACGAACAAACATCCTTCTCGAACAACTTGAAGTAAGTGAGTCTAGTTTCTTTCCTACCTTGGGAAATTAAACTAAATTAAAATTAAATCCCAGAGCCAATGAAAAGAATATAGGCTGTGAATGTTATTGTCCCTTTGCTTATGTTTTCAAATACTTTTTTTATTGCTGAATTTTACGTGGAATCAATGGTTGACAAGGATTTATGATTAAGTAGCAAAATGTTTGCTTATCATGTTAACCACCTTTTATAATGCTGTTATAGAGAAATATGTGCACAGCTGGAGTACTTAAAAAACATCTTTTGATGTTAATGCTCCATCTATCTAGCATTACACTTAGCATGTTTAGAAAAGGATCCTCAGGTCTGCTTTCTGTAAAATATCCTATGGTTTTGATTCTTCAGTTTTTACGTGTCCAGTTGAAGCATATGTGATAGAGGTACCCTGAGGGTGGTAACACAGCTGTTTCTTTGTGGTCCCTGAATCATGTGTTGCTGGAAACTGGAAGAACTTTCTGAGGAATCACTACGTGCTTCCCCTCTGTTGGCATTCTTTCTTAGGTCTTCTCTCTTACGTGTTGTAAGAGGTGAGGAAAAGCTCCATTGGCAAATTCAGTCTGACTTCTACTCTTCTCTTGTGCTATGTTTTTCTGCTAAGACAAGGCCAGAATGCTGTAATTTGTTCCTGAAGAAGCCATTTTTCTTCCTGAGTTTGGACACTTTTGCTAAATAGGATTTGCTTTATCTCTATGACTGATGATTGAGAGATTCTAAATAAGAGCATACGTGCATGCTGTAACTCCAGTGATTGTGTGCATTATGTTTGCTCGAGGGATGACAACTATCTCCTACTGTTCCACATTATTAACAGAAAATCACAAACGAAAGGAAGCAGAAATTGGAGCAACAACTGCAAGGTGTTGCAGTTTTAAGTACACAGGTTGAACACGTGCAGAACTTTGTCAACTGGGCAGTGAGCAGTAAAAACAGCATCCCGTTTCTCTTCAGTAAAGAACTGGTAAGAGCAATGCTTATTTTCTCAATAAAGTGAAATTATGCAGCACATGTGAGAAATGTTTTAAGGATTTAATGTTTCTCCAATAAAACACTTTTCATGATCTTTTAATTGTTAATAAAATCATAATCCTTTGATTTGTCACCAGATTGTGTTTCAGATCCAGCGCTTGTTAGAGACAAACTCTAACACAGACATAGCCTCTCCTCTGAAGATCAGATTCACTTGGGATCCCTCCTACTGGAGTAAGCAACTGTCCAATTTTGGTAAGAACAACATAGTGTTCTTTATTAGGCAAGTGCCCAAGGACAGACAAGACATACATGTACTTTCCCAAAGGAGTCTTCATTTTTTTTTTTGAATCATGGTTTAGGTTCTATCTGTCACAGTCCTGAAGAAATGCTGTCGTGACTAAAAACTTTGACGCTTTTCCTCTATTAGAAGGCATCATTATTTATAAGTATTACTCTATAAACATTGCTATGAATGTACTCTATAAATGTCGTTTTTGTGTCTTAGAAAATCACAGTGTAAGAGCACAACTACAAATTTAATTAAACAGCTGTGAGAATGGATAATTTTTTAATTAGTATTACGTAACGTGCAGCATAATTGGCTACCAAGTAGTCTTAGCTTTTGCCTGATGCATGTGAAATGCAATTTTGTCCCAGCAAGCAATAGCTATGCAACTACAACACTGTGACCCTGCCAGTCCCATATGGATCCTTGGTTGAAATGGAGTACTTGTTGTGACACTGATGCTATTTTCTCTGCCTTACCCAGGGGTAGCTAGTCGCACACTCTTCAGATCTGTTAGTATCTTAGTGGCCATGGGATCTGAAAAGTGCTTAAGATGCTTACAATCAATGGGCGCAAAGACGGCTTTAAGACATTGACTATGTAATATTGACAGTATTATTTATGTAATGAATGTGCATACTTTCAGCTTGTTTCCCACCAGTTATACATTTTCCAGGTGCTATGGGTTTTTACAGTAAATTCAGTTTGGTGGGCAGATCAATGGCATAAAGGGTTCTTCTCGTCCTGTTTTGGGACAATTAAAACTAGAAGAGGTAAAACAGTTGCAGAAGAGTTGCAGAGAATAATTTTCTCTTGGCTAAAAACAAGAACAGATCAGTTCATAGGTCATTTCTATTTCTAGCTTTTATGATTCTTTCTTACATAACATCAATCTATTTTATTTTCTCACTTTAACCCTGAAAGCAGGCTTTTCTACCTGCACTTATGGATGGGAAAATGTGCTAGTTTAGTGAAGAGTGGAAGTATAAGCCATATACATCAGTTAAAATAATGTGAGTGGGGGGTAGTTTTTCAAAGCATTTGCTGATATTTCAACCATGAGTACCATGGACATCTGTAGGAGTTTAGTGTGATTTTAAATCACTGCAAAGTCCTGAAAAAATTTATCTTGAAGGTATATTGAAGGATTGTTTGGTAGGGTATGAGCCCATTTATGTATGAACTGAAGATAAAGGAATGATTGTCATTTAGAGTTTTTGTTCTGTAAATTTGTCAAGATCTTGGGAGAGTAAGTTTGCTGTTATTATTATTATTTTTGCAGGAGGTTTCACTACGGAAGGTGGACACACTTCACATTCAGATGTCCTGCTGTATGGCAATGTACAAGGATTACCGACACCCTCGTATCATGGGCACTGTTCCCCAGCGTCACAGCTGGAGCCTGTGAATAACCAGCCACATCAGTTTCCCCCTGCTGCTCAGTGTCCTATTCCTGTGTGTTGCTCTCACTGCCTCAGTGTACCTCACCCAAACAAAGCTCAGCCTTCTCACCAGAACATAAGCCCCCATCAACATTTTCGACAGCCTTCCGAACTGCATCAGCAGCACTTTCCCCTGCAGTGCAGCATGCAGCAACGTGACAAAGAGCAAAGGGGTGTTTCCCAGCCTTTGAAGCCAACGCACTCTGAACGAGAGCAGCAGTCAAGGTCTGAGTCAGAGAGTGCATCTGGGAGAACGGGAAAACACTTACCATCCCAGCAGCTGCAACAGACTGTGCCTCTGGGCTATGCTGTTGTATCACATGAGGCTCAGCAGGTTCACACAAGCCATCCACAGCCATTTCGCTCACAGACTGCTTTGCAGACATCGACTGTGCAAGTGCAGCTTGGCCATCTTCAGAAGATAAAGTCTAACCACGTGCAGCAGCCACCACCGCAGCAGCAGCTGTCACCAGCATCACCACCACCAAGTCAATATGAGAACACTCACAAACAAGTCATGCAGCAGAGCCTGGACATAATGCACCACCAGTTTGAACTGGAGGAAATGAAAAAGGATCTGGAGCTTCTTCTCCAGGCCCAAGGGCAGTCCAGTTTGCAGCTGAACCAAGCTAAGCCACCTCAGCATGTTCAACAGACCATAGTTGGTCAGATAAATTACATAGTGAGACAACCAGCCCCGGTTCATCAGCAAATTGAAGATGAAGCACAAGTAAGTTTTAAAAGTTCTTTCCTGTTGTTTCTGGTCAACGTAAGCTCGAAAATGGGGGACACCTTTAAGATTTCATGTGGGTTGAACTTTCTGCTGCCTTATCTATGCTAGTAATCAGCAGAAGCTTCATGCCTCACAGTGATCTGTCCAAAACTTTTGTAAAGTGCTGCATAAATAACCAAGATCCTGAAGATCTGGCTCTCTAAAGAGACAAGGCGAGCAGCGGGTGGGAGGATAAAAGCATCATCATTCATCCTTTGTATGTAGGTAAATGAAAGACAGAACAATTGAATGACTGACATTATTTTTATAGCAAAGAAGGAATAAAACTCATCTTCTGAATCCCTGTCCCAGAGTTCCTGCCTTTGAAAAAGGGTCAGTGCTTGATAGTGGGCATCCAAACTGTGTAAGATAAGGTGACACTATAAGAAGGCTTTGAAACTTATTCAGAACAGTGAGAATTGCAGTGGAAGGGTGGTTGAGGTCTCCCATTCTGTAAACTCTGTGGAGTTCCCACCTTGAATGACTTACCTTAGTACCTTACCTGGCTTTTGGAATACCTATGCATTTCAGCAGGTTTATTGATCTTTTTCTATGAATATATGAGAGAAATATCTCTTTATTTATTCATTTATCTCTCCAGTTAGAGTTTGAATGTCTTTGTTGTGTTAGTCTTTCCAGTTTTTTTGTATTGTGTGTGCTGTATTGATGCAAGTTTGCTACTGTTTTTACTAAGATTTCGAAAACACTAACTCTTAATCTTGATTTATAGGTCTGTGAGAATTCCACTGAACTTGATGCCCAGAAGCCTGTAGTTCCTCTCGACAGAAGCAAAATATCTTCCATGTCTCAATCATTGGATGAAGAAATCAATGTCAGCAGTCGCTCCCCTGAAACAACATTGCAACAATCAACTTTCCATCCAGTGAGAAAGGTATAAAGAACTTTAAAAAATAAACATGTGAATGGGAAAACATAATTTGATATTGAGTATAAGATGATATTGGAACTTGCAATCAAGGTGAAAAAAAATTAAAATACACTAAAAGTTGGCAAATTAACTTGTAGATCTTGAGAGACAGTCATTGCCTAACCTTGTGTACATCCTCCAGAAATGTGTACACACCGTGCTGTAGCCCAGATAGCAACAAGCCAGTGTTGTTTAGGTATAACTGGCATGACTGTTCAGCATGGATAGTGAATAAATAGAATATCTGCTTCTTCACAGAGTAAATTCTGTCACTTCCTGTCTTTAGTGATTTAACTGTTGGGTCTTTCTCCTACCATACTAGCAGCAGTTGAATTTGAAAAAGGACTCAGTTTCTGATGAAATCCTGAAAGGCATCCTTAAAAATAGTGGAAATAATAGAATTGTTAGTGGAGATGTGGTGTCTGAAAGAGTTACAACAATTCTGTTACATTCTTTGTGTATAAGCAGAAAGCCCATAAACTTTTGTATCTGTAGAAAATTTTAGCATATGACATAGCCATCCTTTACACCCACTACTGGGCATCCCTTGCTATTGAAGAAGATGCAAAAGCAAAACCAAAAGATAATTCATCTTTCTCAGTAGACTCTTGCTGGCTTTGAATACGGCCAGTGCACTTGAGGTGCCTGAACTCCCTTTTGCCTCTCCATGGTTTGTTTAAAATACTCCAAACTGCACTTCATGTTCTGTTTGGTACACTTCAAATCTGTCTGGTATTTCTGTGCACAACTCGTGCCACGTAGAAGTGTTTCATGGATGTATTTTCTCGGAATTTGTGTGTATAAAATTGTGGAAAAACTTGTCTTTCCATGCTAAACTAACAACTTTTCTTAGGCTATCTTGCTTTATTGACCCAATGTGTTTATGATCCTTTTGGGAATTGTAGAGAAACAGAAAGGTAATGATTACTGAGGGTATGGAAGCAGCATAGAAATCAGATTTGGAAGCCACAGTGAAATCTGCAACTGCTAACTTATCCTGTAAATGTGAGGGCACTTCTGAATTTGGTGGGTGGCATCACAGTGTTCTGTGATGATGATGTTTTTTGCCTCTGAACTTTCGTATATGGAAACAGAACTCGCTCAGCCTCTGATGACAGAGCACAGGACTGAGGAAAGCAATGTACATTGTCTGCAAATGGGCTGCCTTTGCCATAGGAAATGACTAAAAAAAGATACACTTAAGGTGTAAATAAGACCACGACCTTCTCTTGTAATGCAGACACACCCACAAAGTTATTTGTGAAAATAAATGTTAATGGATTAGCTTTCAGAGCTTTCTATACGTGCATGTTGAAGAAGCCATCCTTTTCTTCTGGACCTACAGTGGAAGACTTCTTCTAACAGCTGAAATGAAAAGTGAGAAATAGGGAAGAAAACTGAAGTACAAGTGCAAGAGACTAACGTAGTCTGATGTGAAAATGAAGGAGAAAAGAAGAAAGAAAGGCCATGCAGGTTGAGAAGATGGCAAGAAGAGAGTAGACCTAGAAAAAAAATAAGGGAATTTTTTTAGTGGTACTGAGAAGTACGTATTCTTTTGCAGACAACACAGATCTCTAAAGTTTTTACTGGTTTTCTGGTGTATCTGCAAGAAGTGAGGATGCTTAAGAGCTTCAGTACCCCCATCTTTGCTTGTATTTATGTTTTCTAATGAGCTGTTTGGGGTGAAGTCATAATATCCTGAAGCTCTGGCAATGGCTGATTAGAAATGATGAAGGGTAGCAGCACAGTAAGGAAATTCTTGAAATATATTTGTCATGAATGCTGCTTAAAGGCATCTGACTGTTTTTGCTGGCAACAAAAATAAAGCTATGTTTAAATGGGAGATTGGTTCTTTAAAGAATGAGAGGATGTATCTATTCATTGTCATCTGTTTCCATGCTTGTCTTCAGACAAAAAAAATTCTGTATGGGTGTCTGTACACTTTCTATATGGCCTATGTTCAGAACATTTCACCTCTTATGTTCTTGGATGACACAGATAGCACTTGGAAAATATGGTAGAGAAAATGGCTACAGAAACTTTTTGCTAACAGGAGGAGAAAAATTGTATTCTGCCTTTTAAAGAATACTTGGTGTTGGACTTCTTGGCGTCATTTTGCAGTTCTGCTGAACTCTGACACCCTTCACTGTGTGAAGCACTGCTAGTGGACCTTGACTGCTGAGCTTCCTTCTTTAAGGAGAAAGCTGTGTGAACCAGGATGTAGCAAAACTCAGAGCCCAACAAAACCCAACAAAAAAACAGCTTCCATTACTCTAGTGATTTTCTTTATTTTAGAGAGGCACAAAGCTTGATTACTATTGTAATTAATCACTTGTGTCTTAACTGTGAAACATGCTTACTGTGTGCATTTATAATTTCGGACTGATGACTAGTTGAATTGTCTGTATATGGGATTGTATTCATGTGTGCCCTGAGTGCTCCTGAGTTCAAGGATGCTTGAGTTGTTCTGATGAATACTGTTTTCTGCCCCTCGTATTTAAAGCTGATCATTTATAAACCAAAGTAGAAAAGCAATGATGAAACACTTCAGACACTTTTAGAAAAGTCCTCACGTCTTGACACCTCAGCTTCTGTCAGGGCAAAAATTAAGCACTGCACTATTGAGTGGACTGAATTTTGGCTTTCCATAAGTATAAAGCAGGAATTTCTAGTCGGTGTTAGTTAGAAACACTGATATCAAAGCAACTGCTATCTTAGTGTTGGAGAGCGATCTATTCAGGAGCAGAGGCAAGAATAATAAGATTCTTATTTCTTATTCTTCTTGGCCTAATTGTGTTTGTAGGAATAATAAGGGGCATACAGTCCTTGTTTTCCATATCTATACCTAACTGCTATTTTAATGTGATGAGCAAGGGATCTAAAGGCTGTACCCAATATTTAAAGAAATGTCATTTCTTTTTTTTATTACTGCATATCTAAGATAAATTTATAGTTTAAGGCTTAGATACTGTTTCAATGTACTCTGTCATTATTGCAGAGCTAGCTGGAGCTTTTCCCCCTTAGACTCTAGGAGTGCATCGCTTCCTTTATTTAAGAGCAGAGACATTACTTCTGGGAGGGAAGGATTCCTCACCTTGTCCAGCTGTTGGTTGGATCCTGGGTACATCCTCTACCTGTCCCTGCTCATCCTAAAAACATAATGGGCTTTGGCTCTCGTGGCTCTGCCCATTGGAACACTGGGATCAGGACAGCATTTGTAAAGCTAATGTTTGTTTTTGTTCCTCAGCAGCTTTTGAAGATTTCTTCCCTTGTGCTTGTTTCTCCATTTGCTTAAAATAAATCTCTGAACATGTCAGACACAGTAGTTGTAAATTATTACGGAATGGTGTTATCTGCTCAGTTATAATCATATGCAATAGCAGATGCTTAGGAAAGGGCACATGAATCATGCAAGTTTAAGTTGATCGTTTGTTGATACACCACACCTGCTTCTGAAAACCAGCTCTTTAGAGACTTTCTGAACTGCAGGTTGTACCCAGACAATTGTTTTGCAGCTGTTCACGGACCCCTTCTTTATGAATTTGTCGAATAATTTTTGAGCTCACTTTGTACTGCTGGTCTCAGCATTCTGTGACATGAAATGGGGAAATAATAATAAAAAAATTCCATACCATCCAAGGAACATTCCTGAGAGCATTTTGAAAGATAATTCTGTTTTAGTCCAACTGTATGCAACAGTGGCATGTGATGGGCAGTGGGACACAGTGGATCATTGTGGGCTCCATGCGTGGGGATTTCTTGAGCATCCCCATCCCAACATCACCATTGCTGCAGGTTTATCAAAAAGAGTGGTTGATCTCCATCTGTTGGAGGTGGCATTCTTGGGTATTTTGCCTTCAATGCATTTATCCTGAATTTATTTATTAAGGACAACTCTTCCATCTTAGTGGCAAGGGCTTTACTATTGGTATTTTGTTTTTGTGTTTTATTTATTTTTTTTCTTCAAAAGCAATGTAAAATTTGTGGGAAGCCCTAGGGAGCAAGGGACAGGTTTTATTGTCATTGGTATAGCACTAAACATGCTGTCATTGCTTGCTGATCAAAAGTGATAACTTAATACCTCACCCTGGAACTTTTTATCTGAGCTTATGTGTGGAGTGAGTTTATTGCTGTTTTTTTTTTTTTTTTTTTTTTTTTTTTCCTAATTATTGGCAATTTTAAGGGGATCAGATATGAAATAAATGATTTTAGCAGTCTGGAATGTGCGGTCATGCAAATTTCTAAGGTACCAGAATATTTTTTTACTTAAAGAATTGAGCTGCTTACAGAACAGATGTGTTCATGCTTAATGCAATTAGGTACATTTCCCAGAATGTTAATTTAATGAAACCTTTTGCTTTGACCTGGAAAAAAAGAATAAATAAAACATGATGCTGCTTGCTCCATACAATCTCTTCCTCCTTCCACTTTAAGCCAGCTCCAATTTATTCAGACAAAATGTTAAGGAAGCTTTGGATTCTTTTTCTCATAAAAACAGAAAGGAAATCCTTTGGATTCTATTCTGAAGTGGGGAAATAGGAAAAAGGAAGCATGTGTACACTGTGTTATCAGTGCCGCTGTAAGTGGTGAGTTAAACAACTGGATTGGAGTAGTACATTTGTTTAACCTCCTAGCATAACGAGCTGCCAGGGGGATTGCTCCACTTAATAGCAGCCGTTCATTACTCTGCAAGCATTTGCAGCGTGTTATTTCTCTTATAGCAAAGAGAATTGGCGGTTCCTAGTTTTAGCTTTCTTTATCTGTGACACTTGAATGTCAACAGCCTTTGAGATTTTGCCAAAACAATCCTAACAAATCCTAATCCCAGTGTTTCAAGGTAAGTACTTGCTTCTCAGAATTCTTCTGTATTAGTGCTGCATGTTTACACTGGACATTTTTAAATGCAAGAGTGATCAAAGAAATATTTGAACTGAACAGTGTGTTTATTTTTTGTTCTCTGAAGGCACTTTGCATGTTCTTTATTCTTAACTTTCAGTACCATAGCTATGGAATTTGTGATAGGAAGCATTTTGGGGTGGTGATGCTACTGCCATTATACTATAAGGATCATCAGACCAAAATTAATTATGAAACAATGAGAATTTTATTTATAATATCACAGATGTAGTTGGATGTGCCAGGCTGTACATTAAAATGTCAAAAGTTTCAAAATTAACCTAGCTGAAGCCACTATCTACCCAAGAGCATAATTAATGCTTGTTGTTCAAAGGGTGCGATATAAAAGCAATAGAGCTTTTATAAAACAGAGATCAATTCTTTCTTTAAAGGCATCCCGTCTGCAAAAACTATCTGAACTGTCAGGGGAGAAGAGAAATTTTTGCTAATGGCAAAAGAAATGATTATTTTAGGGAGTGAATTAATAGGTTATTAATGAGCCTTGTTCCCAGTGCATTGTTCACTTCACACTTGACAGCAGCTCCATGGATCAGGATGGAATGTGTCTGTTCTTAACTGTGAGTTTTAATATTTTGCACTGAAAGATCATAATGTTGCTTCATCATTAAGAAAACTACAAAATTAACTTTTGCCCCAAGGGAAAGACAGATGGCAGTTTGATGGCCTCATTATTCTTTTTTTCTTTTTAACAAGAGTAAGGTTTTATATTAGCTTATATAATCCGAAGAGATCTCTTAAGAAGCTGATGCCAGCTAGAAGAGTAAGAAATATATAGCCATCCAATGCCATTAATTTTCAACTTTCTAACAATATTTGCTGTAATAAAATTTTAGGTGTATATCTATTTCTTTTTCCTTCAGTAGGAGTAGACCCAATGATTGCTCCCAGTAAGTAAACTTGGCTCTCTGAGGCCAGAAGTAATCCTACTTATATAACAGAGCTAACATTTTACCCACAGCTTTTGCAGTTATGCATAGGCAGACCATCACAGGTTGAGGCCTCGATATGTAACACGTGATGGCACAATTTTATAGTACAATTAAAGGACAATGTGTGTAATGATTAGAAGAAGTGAACAGCCACAAGGTCTCTAGTGAATGCTCTGTACAGCTCTGGGTGATGTTCTTACCACACGTGCACCCAGCATGCCCATTCCTAATGGAGCACATCATTAGGGATTTCCTATGGATCCCCAGTACTTTGGAGAATCTAGCTAAATAGGAATTTAACTGCCTCCCAGGGAATTAAGTAGTACCCACAGTGGACTTTGAAATAAGGGGAAAAGGCAAGGCTGATTACAGTCCCTCTGTTCAGTTTAAGCAGGAATTCTGTTTCTTATTTGTTTATTTTCTGTATGTGATTTAAGCACAATTCACGTATTCATTTTACCATCTGAAAAAGCCATGTGATAAAGAGTGATGGAATGAAAAGGAGTACGTGTTCTCTGGGGCATTCTTGATACCACATTTGCACGCCACGTGTAGGAGCCTGTCAAACAAATTATGGCATGAACTGAACACTTGTAGTATTTGTGGTCATCCTTATGTGTCACCATTAAGACTGGGTTCTAAACCTCTGCAATGGAGGAATGGGAGACAAGGAAAACGATGCCTCCATCAGTGCATTTCCTGTTATGCTGTGTTCTGTCTTTTTATTCGAATGTGAGGTAGGAAGAACACGTATCACTAAATCTTGCTGGTTCCAAGATTTTTTCTAGTCCAGAAGTCTTAGATTTGGAAAAGTGACCTCAAGAGGAAGGTGTCTAATACTCTGGCTGTGGAGACCCAGTAAGATCTCTGGTGGAAAAGGCCCCTCCAGAACTGCTAAAACTTACTACTACTTACTACTTACATTTGATGGTAGAATGGCACATACCTTTACCAACACTGCAGAAGAACTGACTTTTTTGTCTCAAATGCAGGCCACTTTGTCTCACTGAGTGTGATCCCAAATCTGTGGCCAATGCTGTAGCACTTATTGCAAATTGAGGAAAAGGAAATAAAATTACCTCCTTAAATGAAAGTTGATGTCAGTGGGCAGAATGTTGTCTTAGCATAGGTGACATGCATTGCAGGCAGAGAGATTTGAGACTGATGTCTTTGGCACTATGCAGGATTTACACGGGCACTTCTGACAGCTCAGTATGTTTATATGTCTATATGTATTTACCACTGCCAGATTGATAGACAAAGTGAAAATCCAAACTGGAGTAACAGTTGAGAAAAATGCTAATTAAATCTAGGAATTAGGTCTCGAATTCAATTCTAAGTCATAGGCCCCTAGCGGAAAAATCAGTATAAAAATGACAACTCCGATTCAGATGCAATCATCAAGTTTCTTTTTGTCTTGATTTATTTTGTAATAAGTACTACTTACTGTATTGTAGTCAAAAAAGGATTTATTCAGTCGATTTTCAAGGGTAATGAAACACCAATGAACTATGGAAAACTGCATATTGAAATGACACAGATCTGCATAATTCTTAAGGCTGCTTGTATTTGCTTCATACGGATGCTAGCAGAGACCTGATTTCGGTTCAGCCACGTGTTCCTGGATGTAAGGCAGCTTAGGAAAGTCACGTACATGAGTGGATTTTCCTTTGTTTTGCATGGCAGTGTTTCTGACAGTGACAAATCATGAGACATTAGCATGTGCATTTTGCTAAAAATGCCTTTGTAGAGGCTTCAGTAAGTAGGCTATTCCACTTCTTTTGCAGCCACACTTGTAGACCCTTTTCCTTCTTAGTACATGTAATGCGACTTTACATTACGATATTTAAAGGGCAAGTATCTTAAGTTTAAATGGGACAGATTTACTACCATAAAGTATTTAGCATCGTAAAGTAACAAGTTTCATCCACTTAATGTCAGATCTGAATCTTAGTTCTTCTAAATCTTCATTCTAAGTAAAATTATCTGACAATTTCTGAATAAAATGATGAAATTTCTGGTCAGAATCATATTTCTCCGGGTGTGACTTAAGGGAAGTTAGGGTTGACATCAAAGATAGACGTAAGTTCAATATTCTCCATATTCCCCTTCGTTGTAGGGAGTTAAAAATCTGAATCCCTTGGAGTGATCAAAGGATGGCAATTTTTGTAAATCACAGAGGAGTAACCTAGGCACCTCCTTTTATAGTTTTCAGTTTCAATAGGGGTACTGTGAAGCTTCTGGAAATGGTATTGGATTATGGTAGGTACTCTCATGACCTTGTGACTCAACTGCTTCTTTAACAATAGCGGTGTCTAAACCATTACAGAAACAGCAGTGTTTTACTTCTAAAACCTGGTTAACCAAACTGTTTTTATTTCCTTTCCCAGCCTTCAGCATCATTAGGCGTTGTGGGCTTTTCAAGCGATTTAGAAATGGAACTGCCTTCAAGATTATCGAGGTCGGTCGACCCACAGGTGCAAGGCATAGCCACTGTGGCACTTGGCCCATCCCCAAGCACCCGCTGTGACTGTGATACTCCACCAGAGCCAGTGCCTAGCTACAGTTTGGCACTGGGAAGAGCTCCAGTTGAGCTGAACCCTGGGATTTCTACTGCCCTCACACCAGATGATGCACATCAGGGCAGCACGAAGTGCAAGGTAGGAGTCACTCAAACTCCTCTCTGAAATGGAATCCGTTTTCATTGATAGCACACGCTGTAGTTAGTCATGTAAAAAAAGCTGTTCAATAAGTATGATTTTCTTCTGATACTTAAAGACTGATTGCATTGTTATTTTTATTAAGAAAATTAATAATTGGGTTTAATATTTTTTCCTCTGAAGCTGGAAAATGAAGATTTCAATTCTGTGGATCATCAGCCAGAAAACAGCTTGGCTACAGCAGGGCAAGATATAGTGAATGAATTAAGTCTTTCTATGCAAAACGTTCTGGAAGAACCTATTAATCTTTCGGTCAAAAAATCTCAGCGTTGTACTTCTCCTTCTGAACTGCTCAGCAACAATTCTCTTCTTCCTGTGAATGCTAGGATAAGATCACTTAGAAATGAAGAAGGTAACAGGCTTTTCATTGTTTCGTTTAAGTTTGGGGTTTTTCTTTCTTGTTACTGTACATTACAAGCATTGCAAAGCAGTTTGCATATTGATGTACTTTCATAAATGTGCTTCCCCAGCAAGCTTCAATTATCAAGTACTTAATCCAATGGAAAAGTATTTGATCTCATTTGTGGAAAAAAACTTGAAAATGATATGCCTTGAATCTGTAACATCCTTCAGCTCTGAGCCAGAAACACATGCATCTGTGTGAAGTACCTGGAGTATTAGTTCTCTGAGAAACACTCCCGTTAATGAGACCTGCAGTTATGACTATTGAAGAGCTGGTTTGGAGAGTCCAAATTCAATTAAAAAAAAAAAAATTACTTCCAAAATGTGATGTGCCTTCTGCTAAGTCCTTCATGTCAGTAGCAGAGCAAATTTTTGTGAGGTTAATATATTGCACAGTATGTGCTTTTGCTTGGCTCTGTCTACTGTGGAACATTCCCTTCAGCCAAGGCCTATTTCTTTAGTCTTAATAGGGAATTAGACCTTATTTAACTCTTTATGTGGGCAAATTGCCACCAGCCTTGTGCTGCACTGTACAACCTCATTCCTGCAAACTCTAAAAGTCAATGGAACTATTCATGCAAGCAAGGGATTTTGGGATCAAACTGCTATTCTGTGACTTATGCCAATATTTGGCTGCATTTCCCTGAAAAAGATGAATTAATATTTCTATCTCCATGCTGTGTTTTTATTCCAAGAATTCTAATTAGTACAAAGAAGACGTAGTTCAGTGAGCCAAGTAGATGAGTTTGTCTTCTCTTAGATGTACTATGCCAAGATGTGACAATTATGCCACAATCAGCTGTGTGAGTAGCAAGGATCATCTGTGCCCCTAAAAAGCTGTGCCTCAGTTAGGCTTAAGTCTTTTGGAGATGAGCAGTTGTGTAATGTCTGGGCTCTGCAATTACTGTGCAGCCCAGGGCTGAATGCAGTGTTACAGCTGAGGCCTCTGGGGCACTGAGCAAAGCAGCTCCTGTGTTTTATATTCCTCACTACAGGCAGTGGGCAGCATTTGCCATTTTTCTGCAGCTTCATTACATGATTAACTTACATATAGTGAATAGTACGACACTCACCCTTAGTTATTTCTACAAAACAGTTCTCATCTCAGTCAGTCATTTTCCTATGCTAATTCAATCACTTTCCTTCATACACGTGGTACTTGGTGTTGTCTCAGTTAATTCCTGCTGACTTTGGAGGTTTTTCCATGATGTATTAAGATAAGTTTTGAGTTTTTAACATTCTTGCAACTCCTCTGGGTTGATGTCTTTCTCAAATTTGTATAAGTATGCTTCCTCATAAGCCAAGTAGGTGATGGAAAAGTTGATTAATATTAGGATTCCAGCACCACTGGAAAATCCTGTTTTGACAAAGGGCAGCAAGAGCTTCAGATCAGTATGCAGTCATGCTTTAGTAATTCTTTGCAGATTCTAATCTACTAAATTTCAACCGAGCAATGGTTGTAGGTGAACAACATGAAATACACTTCTACTAGTTTTGTCTTGTTTTGTTCTCAGTGACTGAGAACAGTGATAGAGTATCATGAAGGTACATTGCTCTTACACAACAGGATAGGGACCATTGACCCCAGCTAGATTTCCTTTAAAAAAGCGTGTTTTGGTAGCACACACTTGTCTCCAGGTAGACCTATTTGCTTTATTTTCTTGTTAATATTATCCATGTTGAAATAATTTGTAACAAAGTTGTTATGGGCGATGTCAGTGGACTGTTCTATACAAGAGCACCTGTTAGAGCATTCATCCCTGCCCCTATTCTATCCTTGCCCCTAGTCCATCTCTCCAAAGTTGTTTCATTGCCTGTGCCTAGTGTTGGTCAAGAGTTGTGGTTATTTACATGCTTATATAATGGATAGTTTTGAATTAATATGTTTTTACGTTACGTACGCTGGAGGGTATAAAGGATCATACAGTGTAGCTTTTGTCCCTAAGAGAGTCATAATTTCTTTCCTGTTTTTGAGTAACTAGAATTATCCAGAGGCTTCTAAGCATGGAACAGGAGACTGCAAAAACTTCCTGAGCCTTAGACTGTGGGTCTGCTTTTGCCAAGTGAACGCTATATAGCACAAAGGATTACTCCTGATGTTCCCTGTGTATGGATGTGTGCAGTGTGTCTGTACATGTCTATAATTCCAAGGGAATATAACCAATTCAGCAAAATGTTTTGGAAAGGCTCCTCATATACAGTACAGAAGTTCTAGTTAAGACAAAGACAAAGAATGTTCCCCAGAATAGAAAATAGCACACACATTTAATATACATACTGATGAACTGATCACATAATTCACTTATCATATTAAACAGCAGTCAGAAGTACATGAATATTAAAGTATGTTCTACCCAAATCTGACTCTGATATTATAAATATTTTATTTTTTCTTCTTTTCTGTTCCAGTTTCCAATAACTGTGAAAAGGAACATTTTGAAATGGTTATGAAAGGCAATCAGAATGTCAGGTAACAGTCTTTTTTTATACAACAGCACTAGTCATGGAATTTTATTCACGTGTTTAGAAAATGTCTCTTACTTAATGCAAATGGAAAAGTTTTTTTAAGAAGAATGCAAGGCTCCTTATAGATAATAATTCTGAAAGTTATGGAGTATTCTCTTAAACTTGAAAACTACAGCTTAAAAGAAGTGATGTGTTCACGCATGCCTATAATTCTCTTGTGATTTTCAGAATATGTAAATGAAAACATTTGTCATTTGGACAACTGTAAACTGTTTAGTCCCATTTAAAGCCAAAAAAGTAAATTGGGGACAGGATTAATATTACATTGAGAATTTTAATAAGTTTTGTTTTTGTCTATTGCTGTGCTAATATCTTAAGGTTGAATGTTATGCTGAGTTCTTATTTGAAAAGCGTTGAACATGACTTGGGTTGTATGCCAGTGTATATGGGGAAAGGGCAGAAGGTACTGATGCATTTGCACACATGATTAAATGAAAGTGTTTGCACTCTGATTTCATAAAGAACTGGCATTTAAAAATCCTTTTAACCAGTTAACCCTTTAGTCAACTTTTAGCCACCAGAGCCACAGCTAATGAAGGAAAAAGAGAAGAATAGTACATGAAAAATGTTGAAAATGAGTAGGGAGGAGAATTGTGTGGAATGTGATTGACTTTAACCATATGTTATTTTAATGGTGGTGCTTGCCCTAGAGAGCCAAGGATCCCCTATGTGAGACTGGAGCGTCTGAAAATCTGTGCATCGGAATCTGGCGAGCTACCAGTTTTTAAGCTCCAGCCACAGGAGAGTGGGCAGGAGGGCAGTTTTCTCCTGATAATTGAGCATGGGACTCAGTCTTCAAGTATGGCTATAAAAGTGAGTGGGATTTGCTTGAAGTTTTACCTGCCTTCTCCCTGTCTTGCTGACTTGTAGTATTCAGAGTTCCTGAAAGTCATTATACACTTAACACAGGTTTCTTGATTAATTTCGTTCTTAATACGTCTGTGATGGGCTGAAGTAAGAGCATGCAGCTTTTGTTTGCTGTGTAGCTTCCTGTTACTTCTATTTGTGAGAAGTCCCTCTCTGAGATCAGACAGCTGTAGCGTTTTTGTGTTCTAACAGCCTAGATTGTCTATCAAATTATAAACACAGCATAAATAACTTGAAACTGACCTGAATCCTTGTTCAGGCATCGCAACATGAGTGATGGGAACCAATTCCAGAAATAACAGTGTTACAGATTTTTGAAAGCTTAATATTCTATCACTTCCCCAGTGTCTTAAAAGTGAACTTCTTTCCACAGAAGGAAACTAGAACTTGTATTGGGAAGAAAAAACTATTTTCTTGGGTTCTGTTTTATTTTTTTTTTTCAGTTGCTTTCTGTAAAAATTGCACCTGCACCTATATAATGTGCAGTTTCCATGAAGAGCAAATAAGGTCATCAAAGATGTTGTATCTGGTATTCATGACATGAGATCTGTACATCTCTGTCTGTGCTATAACACAATGGTATGTAAAGGAAATGACTTGACCTGGCCAACCACTGGCTGGTGCTGAGCTGAGCATAGGCCTGCCAAACCCCAGTGTCCTCTGCAGAAGAGTTCACTGTAGAGAAACTTTTTTTTTTTCTGCAGATAACTGCTGCTGTTCTATATGTTCTATATGAAAGTGATGATTGTGTTATCCCAGATTTTTCTTTCTTCAAGATAAATAAAGGTGGTTCACCTGAAGGACTGAAATCCAAAGAGGAGAACACAGATGACAGAAAATTTCTCATAACCCAGGATGCAGGACAAATAAAATCTCCTCCTGCAGATATTCCATCTGTCGATCAGAAGCTCACCAATGGTACCTCCATCATGAAAAAATCTCCAGTTACTCAGGAAGTCAATACAATTGAGAATGAAGACTTCTGTGCTGTGTGTCTTAATGGAGGAGAACTGCTGTGCTGTGATCATTGCCCCAAGGTCTTCCATCTCTCCTGCCATGTTCCAGCCCTACTCAGCTTTCCAGTGTGAGTACACGTGGCGTTTTGCTAACGTGCTCTCTTTCTGGTTATTTCCTTGGGGTAGAATGTCACCTTAGGGATGTATGTGTCAACCTAACAGGAGGGTAACTGCATCTCTTTCTTACTTTTTAAGTTATTTTCCCAGAATCAGAATTGTCTTACTAGATGAAATATTAACAACTATTCTAAGCCATGTATGCCTTCTATAAAGTTAGCTGGCCACTACAATAAAGTAGATAGCAGACCTAGAGCTTTAAAAACATTGTTATACCTTACTGGAGAAAAATAAAGTTCTAAATTGCATGCAATGTAAGATGTTGAATGCAACATCTGTTGTGTGTCAGTTCTTCCCTGCATGAGGAAAGGCAATCATTGACCTCCTTCCCGTTCAGTTTTCCAGCCAGGCTTAGGGGAAATTTGGGATTAATGAAGTTTTTGTGGCAGTGTTCATTTAGAATAGATTTCCAAAGACATACAGTCCTTAGCGACTTCACGTAGACAAATGGTATGTGACAATCATACAGACTGAGTTACACGTCCACATACCAAACTTCAGAAGTAATATGCATTCCTGGTGTTGTGTCATTCTGAAGTCAGCTACAAATCATTTCTAGGTGGGTCCAAAGACTACTTTGTTTGTGCTAAGGCCAAATAACGGTCTCTGCTGTGCAAATACCTTGTGGGATATTACTTTGGAGACTAGTTTGTTCTGTCTGTTCAAAAAGCAGTAAGTTCCATGTCTTGGGCTTTTCCCTCTTTTCTGTAAGAGCTGAGTAATCACTAACCTCTCATTTTAAAGCACTGAAAAAAAAATTTTCCTTGTAGAATAAGCTTCCTAGGCAAATTTTAATTTCTAATGAAATATAGTTACTCTTGCTAACTAAACTTCTGTATTCATAGTTCTGTAATAGACATATGTCTGGTCCTGATGTTGCAGAAGTCTGGCACTCTCCTCATGACATTCTTCAAGGGGTTTCTGAAAATAGATCTACTAGGAACAGGGCTTAGCCTCATGCAGAATTATGTCTATAATTATGTCTACTTGTTTTGGGATCCCACATGCTTGTGCACACTGACTTTTGTGATAATGCTATTTTCCTTGATATTCCTTGATTATTTCCTTGATATTTATAATCTAATGGATCAAGTTCTGTCTTACCATCTTATTGTTGGCTGTTTTTTCACTTTGCTTGCTGTTGATTTCTTTATTTGATTTCGTGAATTAGCAATTTTGTTTTTTGTTCCCCCCAAAAAATTTGTGAATTCTGGTTATATGATTTCAAATGCTACCTTTTTTTTTTTTTTTTTTTTTGTCTGTAACAAGAGCAATGCAATAGGTAAAATCTGAAATGACTGCATTTTGAGTTGTATTCCAATACCTTCAAGAGCATCTAATAGAACGGGCTTGAGATTTAAGGTTATCTGCAGTTGCAATATGTGTTAAAAATGAGTTTTGAATATAGTGATTTCTGATGTTTGTTGTTTGACAAAGTGGCTGACCAGTTTTTACACAGATTCTTGGTTTCTTATTTTGTAGGGGAGAATGGGTGTGTACACTTTGCCGTAATCCAATGAAACCAGAGGTAGAATACGACTGTGAAAACACACGCTATGCTCATAGTTATAATGCACAATATGGCCTTGATGACTATGATCAGAAGGTGGGAATAACTACATCCTGTTACTGTATAGGAAAGGACATATGACCTCAGCTTGAGACTTTGTCTCTTCACTGGAAAGTCAGCTGTTTTGAGTTAGTTGCTCCTAGAGTCTTTCTGAGGATAGTAAATACAACAGAAGAATTGTTAGTATTCACTTATGTTGTTCTGTTCTTTCTAGAAAATTGTTTAATTCAAAATGAAAGTGATGCAATAGAAAAATGAACAAGGAAGTCACATTCAGCAGCAGAGCACCCCTCTCTGTGTCGACTGTGCCTGGCACTGTGCCACCAAATCTTTTTCTTTCAAGACTTGGCACGCTCTCAGACATCTGCTCAGGCCAGTTGCAAGGACATTTTCTGATGCGGACACTTTTTGACTCTCAGCTGAATTGCAGTCAACTTACTTAGTTCATACTGAACATTAATTACCTTTAGGATGACATTTAGGCACTGCTAAACCAGCATAGAGGAAATTTTATCCTTTTGTATCTTCATTACCAGTTTTCTCTTCCAAACCTCTTATTAAAATTACCATTTCTTATAGCCTGTTTCATGCTAGGAAGCTAAAGCTCCAAACAGATGTCCTGTGTATATTAGTGACAGCTGGACAGAGATACTGAGTTCACACTGCTGAGTACAGTTGCTGAGCTGGCACTGCACAAACGAAACCTAGGATTAGGCACTGTACTTAAGGGCCTCAGCAATGGTTCTCAGAGCACTGCAGCAAGGCTTATGAGCCACAGCACCACACAATTTCATCTGTGATGATACCAGACCTGAGCTACATAAAGAACTGGATGTGACTTCTGAACTTTTATGTGATTCCTGTTTGCATTAGAATGGGTACAACTGACCAGAAATAGTCATGGTCTGAGCGTGGATTTGTGAAGTTCTTTTTAGAAAATGGAATTGGTTAGAAACTGTGTCAGTGAGGAATTCCCAAGAGTTTCCAGGAAAAACATGTGCATACAAAATACTTTCCATAAAGCTTTCCCCCCCCCCCCGTTTCTTTTACCATTCTCACTTTCTAAACTATAAAAGGCAGCAAGGCATAATATCCCACAGGTTGGAATGAAGCATGCTATTTTGCATCAAAAGTGTAAAGATTATGTAAAAACTCCCCTTGTGGTTAGTAGGATTAACTAAGAACAAGGATGAAACTCACTTGTTTCAGATTAAAATATATTTCAAATTTGGTTTCCACAGAAATGTGAAAAGCTGGTGCTTTCCCTGTTCTGCAGTAGTATGAGCCTCCCATTCCATGAACCAGTCAGCCCCCTGGTAAGTACTGAGCACCTCTGTGTCAGAGGGAAACCAAAAGAATATTCTGGCACACGTCATGAATTAAAGAATTCAATGAATTGCAAGAATTAGATTCTTGCAGTTTTAACTGAAAGTGAAACAAGTTAGAGGAGTGAAACAAGAGAAAAAGAGTAGGTAGACATGAAGGAACTGTGCAAATAACAAGATAAAAACCATTCCACATAATAAAGCTTGCACTGATCTAATGGAATTACGTAATGTTATGTAACAAGTAAGTTTTGATTCAGAAAGATTTACAGAGGGAGAAATCCTAGTAGTTGGTGGCATTGAAAAAGACTTTTGTTGACCTTTAAGAAGAGCATATATTAGTATATTTTCAGTCACTCTTGGCAGACTGCTTCCCACAGTATCAGCTTCCAGTACCTTGGCACATTATTTTTATAAAGGCCTGGGGGAAATGGCAGCCAATTATCAGTGTTACATATATTATTGATTAAGGTTAAATGATGACATTTCTATCTGGGGATAAACTTTAGGAAGTGCAAATAGCACAGTAGTCATTGAAGTATGTTATTTTCAAGACTGATTTTGCAAGCAAGCATCATTTAATCAAATCTAAAGGCACACAGGAAGAGGGTGTGCAAGCATAGGTATCAAAAGACCAGAGTTCTCTTATTTGCTGCAAGGAGTCCTCTGCAGTGACTTCAATCCAAGCTTGGATAGAAGTTGCTGGAGAGAAAATGTTTTAATTAAAAAGGTAACAAACCTGTATTCTATTCTTATTGCAGGCTCGACATTATTATCAGATCATCAAAAGGCCAATGGATTTGTCAATCATAAGAAAAAAGCTGCAGAAAAAGGATAAGTTCCACTATTCTGCACCTGAGGAACTTGTGACTGACGTGCGTCTTATGTTTTGGAACTGTGCAAAGTTCAATTATGTAGGTTTCTAATATACATGGGTGAGGGAACACAACATGGAGGGTTGCACTTTAAAGCTGTCACAGTGGCATAGCACTACTGGTTCCATTGACACTGGGTATAGGGTTGGGATAAGCAAGAGTATTGATCAGTTTTGCTCATTGGAAAGTACATGTGTTTTTATTGATGGCAGAAATGAAGATAATGTGCAGCTGAGAGCTGGAGATGCATATGGGTCTAAAATTAAAGAGGATATTTTAGCTGACAACTTTCTAAAGTGACGTTGAGTTTACTGTGAGAAACCATCTGTATCCAGAAGAATAGCTAGGAAAATTCAGGTGCATAGAAATTCATGAGTGATGGCAAATGCTATTCTTTCTAGTCCACTGAACATCTCTTTTCTTAGAGGTGCAGAATCATCTTCCTTAATAGCAGCATCTGGTTTTTACTTACACTGTTAATACAGAGGGACTAATGGCTTGTAGAAAGAGTGCAGGAAACTAATGGAGACGAAGCAGGGAGAACCAAGACAAGACATTAAGAAAAGGTGGGCATTTATTTCATCCTTGATGGTTTCTGTGTGCAATAAGACTGAATGGTTGTTTATTCCCTTCCAGCCAGATTCAGAGGTTGCTGAGGCTGGACGATGTTTAGATGTATTCTTTGAGGGCAAACTGAAAGAGATTTATCCGGATAGGCACTTCCCCTCAGCGCAACAAGATGACAGTGACTGTGAAGAGTTGGAGAACCACAACAGCAAAATGCCCCACCAGGATTTTCACTGGCCATCACATGAACAGGAGTGGGTTCAACCTAAAAAGAGGCGACGCCACGCTGTAAGATTGCAAAAACAAAAGCATTTGGTTGCAAAGTGGCCACCCTGCTAATTCTGTTTGCAGCTACTGAAGGGAAGTTTTGACATGGCTGTGTGGGAAAACTGTCAAGCATCTATCACAGAGATGTGATCAGTTCTGCAGTTTTATGTCAAGATCCTCTCGGTGGGATAAAGTGTCAGTTGTGTATAAGAGCATGAGAGTGAACAAGTGAAGTCTCTCAGGCCACGCAGTTATCTTCCTAGCAGAAAACTCTGTCAAGTTTTTGATATATATTTTTTTTTAAAGACTGAGCCCTCTAGCTATTCACTGTTTGTTTCCTTTGTGCACAGGAAAGCGACAAAACTAAAAGAATGACGTTTCAGACTGCTAACAGCCTTCCTCAGGTGTGACCTCCTGAAGATACCTGATTTGCTAAGAGGAATCCAGCAGAATAACTGACAGAGTTAAGGTGTGTGGGAGGAAAGCAAAGCACTCGGGCTGTTAATTTATATTCTCCTACTCTGCTGACCATATGCCTTATTTGTAGATCTTGTGGGTAGATAACAGATCAGGAGTGTTTGATTCTGTCTGTATTTCATCTGTTAAGTCACGTGTATGTTTTGCAATGTTTACACTGAAGTACTGATGTTTTGGTGATACATAATGATTAATAATAAAAGTAACGTGCTAAGAATATTTAAAATTGCAGTACCACTTCATAATCAGTTCAACATGACATCTCTATTTTATAGAACACGGGTAACCATGTAATAATCTTATAATGACAGTGTGAATATCGGCCGTGCTTTATGATAAATACAATGTGTGGTCATAAGACATAATCCTGTTGTCTTATTCACTGATGTTTCTGGGAGCTTGACTGCTCGAGGCCTATGGGATACAGTCTAATGTGATTATCTGATTAGCTGTTTCTTTTGAAGCAGAGCATTCTCATTAAATGACTAAAGAGCTACTGCATTATGTGACACAGCTCTGTGCGAGCTGCTGCTGCGTGCACGCTGGATGCTTGGTTTGCAAGGAATGATTCTCCTGGTATTTAATTCATGCTCTGTAAGGCAGAGCAGAATTTTTGGGATCCTCAAAGGCAGCATTTCAGTGCCACCCAGGCCAGTTGTTTTTCTTTAAAGCAGATCACTTTAATAAGTTCACAATGAAGCAATTTACGTGGTTATAGAAGTGCCTATAAAATAACATCATGTCCCCCTGATTTTCTCTTATTTCTGTTAATTTCTTGTAGACGTGATGATTAGCAGTGCTAGAAGATGATGATAAATGTATATGTGTAGAAGTTCGTACAGGATGAAAGGATGCTTAAGTTTTGTTGTCCTAAATTCTGCATCATATTGGCAGAACAACTCCAAGGGCTGAAAGAGAACTTAAGTGTTCACTGGGGCAAAGGATAGAATGTAATTTGGAAAGCCTAAAGTGTGGAATAGGTAACGAAACATGGTGCCTGATCAGAGTGATGCTTTGCAAGCTACTTTCCACCTCTTCCAGAAGCAGATGAGCCAGATATTCACTTGCCAATGCTTCCTGCCCATGTATGTGAGGGGCATCTCCCTCTATAGAGCTCTGCCTAGCAGCTTAAGGCTGGGCTGTGCTCTGGCTCTGAGAGAGAAATAGCTTGCTGCAGATCTCATACCCAATTAGAGTCCATTTTAATTAGTGTCCTGTAAATAAAGATGATATTTTCAGCATAGGTTATAATGGGCTATTTGGTCTGGTAACCATGTATGTTATTTTAGATAACACTTTAAAGTAAAGGTTTATATATGAAACAGTAAGATGTGAATGTTATATTCTGCTGTCTGTGACTTACTGTTTGCCATTTAACCTGATGTTTTCTTTTCTTTGAAAAATAAAGTTCTGGATATTATAAGCTGACTGGAAAACTGAGATCAAAGTGTGAATTCTTGTGTGCTTGCTTTCTGTCAAATCTGTGTTCTCAAAGCAGTAACTATCTTGGCATAACTGAATTAATCACCCTTATCTGTGTCTCCTTTTCTCAGCTGGGAACTAATTCCTCTGCTAAAGACTGATCTTTTAGCATTAGTGGCACAAGAATGATATGCTGTATAGCTTTCAGCTGGTGGCAAAGGTGGGAATAGGAAAGACTCGTCACATTTATTTTTTTTTCCTGGAAGAGTTGAATGAACAAAAACCTACTTCTGTTTCATAAAGACTGTACATTTGTAAACTGTATCATTAGTTTTGGAAATTGCCTGTTCTAATCAAATGTATCCAAGATATATTTTCCCTTCATTTAAAATAGAAGTGCACTAGTTTGTCATCATATGTAAGATATTGGTCAGGATAAGTTCTTCAGGGCACTATGGCCTGACTTGTTTTTCTTGGGGTTACTTCTTTAAGGCATAGCAACAGTTTCAGAAAGTATTTCTGGTCTACAAATCGTGCTGGAAAGGAGAACAAAAACTGAACTTGTAAGTATGACTTCACATAGTTTCATGCCCAAATCTGTGGGTGAGCAGCTTCAGAAAGCATTGCGTGTTGTAAACATAACGTTATCCTTTCAGAAGTTGCCCTAGGATTGCTGGCTTGGTATGTCTCCTCTGCTAAGCACCATACAACCAGGGCCTATAAATTCACAGGGAGTTTACTCTACTGAAACCCAATTACGCGGTGGTACTTGGTAAGGTGTGAAAGGAAGGATCTCCCTTCTAAAATCAAATAGCCCACGTGCCCCATACAGAAGTGGTATGTCGGGTAGTTACTTTTTCTTCTATCACACAACCTGTTTCACAGTTCTGAATAAGTAGGAACAAGGAGGAATCCCTGAAGTTTTCCATTGGAGTACAGCAGAAACAAGTTCCAGGAGCATCATGGAAAAACCCCAGTGAATGCACGAGGCTCCTGCAAATGCAACCAAGGTCACATTTTTTCCTTTTACTTTTAGTTACATGTGCAACAGGAAAATCATCTTTATGTTTCAGCAGTTGTGGAAGAGAAGAATTGCACTTCAGTAACAGGTCTGTTGCAAGAAAAAATGATGAGCTTGGAGTTAAACGTATGTTGATGTTCCAGGGAACACAAGACTTGCTAGTGAGATGAGAAAACTATTTGAGTGTACTTGATCAGAAGAAATCATAGAAGAATAGAATAGAAGAAATTATTAAAAAAATATTAATAAGAATATTCCATTGGCAAAAACATCAGTCAGATAATGCAAGTGTTTTCCTGACTGGTTCCTCCTTGTTTGGTTTATGGGAGTATAAAACCACTGGCAACAACTTTGTGTCCGGAAGGCCTAACGGCTCGAAGGGGGAGGAATCCCTCTTCCTTTGCATGGATCACATCTGTGCTACTCCAAAGACAATTAAAATGTAATTAAGGCATAGGAAACTTTTAATCTTTGTATAGATGGGAAAAAGTAGACAAACTCTGGGGTGCGCAGTTCTTTTAAATGTGAAATACAGGCAATAGTCTTCAAAACTAGATGCCAGTTGATTTTTTTTCTGATCTTAATTAGTTATCAGTGAGAGGAAAAATAAAAGTAGGCTGAGGAAATATGAGAAAAATTGGCTGTAGTGTGGGCTGAGGAGGATGCATATCTTTTGTAGCTATGTTGTATTTTGGGAGCAAGAAATGAAAGATGGTTTGGTTGCTTTTGAGAAACATTGCCCCACTGTCTGTTCCCATCTAATAAACATTTAGAAAGTCCACTTCACTGCACAGTTGTATGGGAACTGCTGAGTCACGGCCTGAACCTCTGATTGATCACCTGAGGTGAGCAATGAGTCAGCCAGAGGAGCACAGGTGAAGGCAATTCACCGGTCTAGGAGGGGTGCCAGGCTCCGTGCCTCCTAAGTCTACTTAAGAGCTGGCTACCAGTGGGGAAAGATCTCTTCTGGAGATCTGCTCTGCTGCAGTTTTGTAAGTGAGCCCAAGATATGGGTAAGCTTTCTATCTATACTCTTTTTGTTGTCACAATCTGCTTTGCCAAACTCTCTTGTTTATTTTGTAATTGGAGGTCAGGGAGTATGTCACTGTCCTTAGAGAGCATTCCAAATGGTTAATGGTTCCATGGAAGCAGCAGTGCTGGTTTTTGGTTGTGCTGCAGATTGGTGGTCTGCAAGATGCTAGCCTGGATCCTGGCTGTAATGTCTCAGACAATCATGTCTGCACTGAAGTGTTCCAGAGGCAGTCTGATGCTGAAGCAGCACTTGGTGCATTTGTTGTGATCATCAGTGACAGAATTCAGGTTTCCATTGCAGATAATAGAGACGTCACTTTAGTATTTAGGCATAACATAGATGCTAAGTTCGTAGATGCTCTGTGCTGAGATAATATGTCTATACTGTATTCTAATGCTCTGACCTGATGTAATGTGGTTAACACTGCTTGCCATGCTCTAATGACTCACTGACAATGTTTCTCATTACAGACAGTTATATATTCACTTTAGATTTAAAAAGTACACATTTTTACATGCTAACATTGGACAGAAAATGAAGTATGCTTGAATATTTTACCTTGTTTACCTATCACCCTGCTCTTCCTTCTGATGAAGTTAATAAGAGCAGGAGTTGTTCCTGCACCTCTTATGAACCCAGTACTGCTCGTTATTTCTTTATTTTACAGCAGAATTCCACCTTCTTCATGTGGTGCAGATATGGGGTGAGCTGGGAATTTTTTGAGACCCTTTTTGGGAAGATTACTGTGAAAACAGGATAAAATATTCAAACTGGGCCTGATGTTTGCACCATTCCCCTGAGACGAGGTGAGGTTTGCTCCTACAGATGGACCCATTGTGGTCACTGCCTGCACTGTACTGAACTTCTCTCCTGGCAGAGAGGACAACTACAGCTTTCTAACAACATTTCAGGCACTGAATTACTTTTGTAGAAACTCACAGAGCCTAACGTGGCTTTGTATGGGATCTAGAAAACGTCGCTGTTGAACAATCAGGAGAAAGCAACAGAACAGTGCTATCTTCAGACACTGAAAATAAAACTGTCATTATAAACTGCGTTATATTAGGAAAGATAAAGAGGTGGTGATGATAGCTATAATTGCAGAAGTGTTCAAAGAATTACAGAGTTGCTTGAGTTGGAAGGGACCTCGAGGATTGTCAAGCTCCAACCTCTCAACACAGGCAGGGCTGCCTACTGCTAGATGAAGTATTAGCTCAGATTGCCCAACCTGGCCTTACACACCTCTAGGGACAGAGTATCTACAGCCTGTTCCAGCACCTCATCACTCTCTCAGTAAAGAACTTCCCCCTGACATCTAAATTGTTCTGTAAGTGACAGAATTTAAACAAAACCCTACAGGATATTTTATTCTTTTGTATTAAAAACAAAAAAAACCCAAAAAATAAAACAGCCCCAAACAATATAGAGCTTAGATGAAGTGAAATTCAATTCAGAATTCATCCTGACGTCCCACTCAAACTCTGCATTGCACATAATCACATATAACTGTAAGTACCTCAGGCACTTGCAGTGCAATATATTAGCACATATAGCTGGGCTTTGGCTTATGACATTTAATAACATTTTAAAAAATCTGTGCAATAAGTGGATGCTGGACACTCCTCTGTTTCATCTTCCCTGTGTTCTCTGAGGGCTTTGGAAACATTGATAAGACAGCTCCTATTCATGTCTGATGTGCTTATGAATATGTCAGCAGTGAAAAATAACATGTTCAGGAAGTTTTACCCTGTGAAGGGAATAGGGCAGTGCACAATCCCCCAGTGCACACCTCCTGTTGTCTTACAGCATGCATGGCCTGGACAACGTGGATGCTTAAATATCATCTCTGGCTAGGTGAGGTTATCTCTGAGTTATTACAGAAAGGATGGATTATCTCCAGGGAACGAAGTTCATAAAGGCTTCCCTGAAGTAATTTTCCGTACTATTCAGGAGAAATGAACGCCTTTATCTTTCTCTTCTAATCATATGTATATATATTTCAAAAACCTCTGCAGTTGCTGACTGGTAGTAGTCTGCTGGGCAAGGAAATCACAGCAGAGATCTCTTGATGTGGCAGTTTCACCAATTGTTTGTAGCTCTTGCATCGCATCTGTTGTTCTTCCCGGCCTGGTAGTGCTGTGCTGTGTTGCATCACAGCAACAGAGCTCTAGCTCTCTGCTAGAGATGGGGAAGATATCTACGAATCATTCTGCATTTATGGCGTTTTTCTACTTCTAAATAACGCGTCTGCTTTACAAATAATTTTATGTTGATTGCATTCATCCTTCTCGTTTTGAGTTAAGTTCTCCTGCATTATTAATTCAGTGGCTGGTAATTAAATGATTGGCTGATCAAATTGTTCCCCCAAGAGTACCTGGGTAAGTGCATTGAAGGCTGATTGATTTAACTGGGGTCATGCAGTTTAGCTTTCCAACTCAGCATTACGAAGGATGGGAAACAAAGGAACAGATGGATGGCAGCAGGAAATGACTGCTGAGCTGGGGCTCAGGTTTTCCCTTTGGATCCCCTGCGGTAGAGCAATGCGCAGCTTGGGTGGGCAAGCTGCTGGGCTGGCAAAGTTGGTACCCCTAAAGCAAGGCTGTTAGCTCCCTCTGCTGAGTTGCTGCATGATTTTAGCTGCTGTAAGTGACAGGCACTTTAGCTCCCAGAAGTTCCAGTGTCATTGTGCGTTCTGGTTCTGATGTGGTTTCTTTCCCAGTGATGTAGCTACCTAGCTGTACAGTCTCCTCTAGCTTAAAATCTGTACAGTCCTTTACAAAGATAAATATATGTATTTATAACAGGGAATCAAACTGTAATGTGGCAGATGAGTATAAGCACTTTAGGTAAGACCTCCATAAAGCCATAATAACAGCCATCTGTTTCGCCTTAAGTATCCTGTAGGAAACAGTTAGTGCTTATATATCTTTTGATAGTTCGCTCTCAATCTGGTACTATGG